AGGGCGTCTTTTCCGTGGTTGTGGCTTGTTGCTGAAGCTACCCTTCGACCAGACGCATGGCCCCAACTACGTGGGCAAGCTCTTGTTTCATCGCCGTGCAACCTGGCTCCCATTCCTACTCCAGAGGAATGCGAGGCATTCTTTGGCATTCTGCCTGCCTCCCATAGGCAGTCTCGCAACCGGCCATCTACAAGCCCGCTCGCCCTTTGTCTACTCACTGTCAATGTACAAACCCTGTACCCACAGGACCAAAGTTGTACGCCAGATGGTGCAGAACAGGGCGAGTTTGTTGGAAGGGCCAGATTCCTCAGAGACCAACTGCAGGCCGAAGGCATCTGTGTCGCCGCTCTCCAAGAGACACGCTCTAGGGCGAGCGAGACGTATGTTTCAGCCAGCCACATTAGGTTCACCAGCGCAAAGGCTGAGGACGGTTCCTGCGGGGTCGAGCTTTGGTTTAGTAGAGACAGGTCTCTCTTCACAGACATAGATGGCGGCCCCATCTATTTCCGCCCTGGGGATTTTCTAGCTGTCCACTGGACGCCAAGAATTCTTGCGGTTCGCTATACGCACTCTACCCTGCGGATTCTGTTTGTTTGCATTCACGCGCCGCATAATGCCAGCCCCGGGCGTGATGCATGGTGGCACGACTTCTTCTTGCTTTTGCGCCGTATCTCTCAAGACGCACAGCTCGTCATCCTCGGCGACTACAACCTGCATATGCACTTCAGCCATGCAGCAGCCGTCGGTGACCTTGTTTGGGGTACCACCAACCCTGACCCACCCACTCCTTTTTACCGCCTGCTCGATCATTTTGCACTTTGGATCCCCAGCACCTTTGCGTTCTGTCATCCTGGTGATCCCGTCACATGGCACCCTCCCAATGGTGCCGGCGCTGCTAGGCTTGACTACATTGCCATACCCGCACACTGGAGTGTTGCGAGCGGGGGCAGCATTGTCAACTCCAGTCTGGACTGGGGACAGAGCCGAGCAGACCACCTTGCAGTCCAGCTTTGGGCACAAGGATCCATTTCATTTGGACACCAGCGTCGGCGGCAGCACCCCCGTCTTGACACCGCAGCGATGCGTACCTTAGAAGGTCGCGAGATCCTGCGCCATATCTGCAATGATGTGCCCCTCCAGCCATGGAGCCTTGATGTGCACAGACATGCGCAGGCCATTGACAACCACTTTCGGAGCCGCCTCGCATCTGCCTTCCCTGTTAAGCGGACACAGTGCAGGCACGAATACTTCAGAGCATCTACATGGCAGCTAAGAGGCCGTCGGGAGTGGCTCCGTAAACGAGTCAAAGGAGCCTCCAGACAATTACATCAATGGCAGCTGCGCGCTGCCTTTAGAGCTTGGCAGATGGACAGGCGCCTTTCTGACTCCTGCCTTGCTTCCTGGGCCTCTGTGCTCTGGGCACTCCGGGACCTTCCCACCTTCTTGACCGAGCTCCGCCAGTCAAGCCAGCAGCTTCGACTCGAGATCCGATATGACCATCTGCAGCACATACGCACTGTCGCAGCTGCATCGGAGACCTCCACTACCCAATCCACAGTGCAACGACTCCGTACTCTCACTGGGGGTCCGAAGCGCAAGCAACGGGAACGGGCCCCACTTCCAGCAGTTGAACGTTCAGATGGGTCGCTCGCCACGACCGACGCAGAGGCTAGGCAGTGCTGGCTTGATCACTTCTCAGCCATCGAAGCAGGTACCCCGGGCACCCCCTCAGACATCGTCCGCGAGTGCATGACCCGCCAGGCGAGCAAGTGCTTTGAAGACTACGAGGTCTCGCACCGTGATGCCCCGACGCTCGGGGACCTAGAGTGGGCCCTCCGCTCTACTTCCACTGACCGTGCTTATGGTGTTGATGGGCTGCCGGGCGAATTGCTGCACTACTGTGCGCCTTTCCTTGACAGGCCCCTTTACCAGTTGCAGCTCAAGTCTTTGCTCACCCTTGCCGAGCCGATCCAACATAAAGGCGGTGTCCTCCACTGCGTTTACAAGCGGAAGGGACCGAGGCAGCAGTGCTCCTCATACCGAGGGATACTTGTCTCCTCCGTAGTAAGTAAATCCCTGCACAAACTCCTGCGTCGCAAGTGTGTTCCTGCACTTCGCAATGCCGCGACGCCTCTTCAGGTCGGCGGCTTACCGGGCCACCCGGTCACGCTGCCGGCGCATGCTACGAGGCTCTACCAATCGGCCTGCCTCCAGCGTGGGCAGTGTCACTGCATTTTGTTTTTAGATTTGCAAGAAGCCTTCTATCGGATAGTTAGGCCATTGGTGACAGGCGGCCCCTTGACTGAAGAGGCACTTGCGAAAGCATGTCAGGCCGTTAGTCTGCCTACCGGTGTTTACCACGACATCAGACGCCACCTTCAGCAACCTGCTCTGCCGCGTTCATCCGGGGCCAGCCACTGGACAACACGTGCCCTAGAGGAAACCCTGCAAGAGACGTGGTTCAAATTCCCAGATGACGAGACAGTAGTCACGACAGCCATTGGGTCTCGACCTGGAGACTCCCTGTCTGACCTTGTGTTCAGCCTGCTCTTCGCCCAGGTCTTGCGACAGGTCAGAGCCTCCCTCCATGCATCCGGCTCGATGCCAGTACCATGTCCGGGAGGCTGACCCCCCTTCCTTTTGTGCCGAGCGACACCATTGCAATCCTCGATGCTACCTGGATGGATGACCTCTCTATGCTACTCCAAGCCCCAGATTCAGCCACCCTCGTGCAACGACTCCGCACTGGAGCCTCCACATTGCTCGATACGTGCCTGGAGCATGCCCTTCTTCCAAACCTCAAAAGGGGGAAAACGGAAGCCATTGTCCATCTCCGGGCGAAGGGCGCCCGACAGGCACGGCGACACGTTTTTGCCGAAAATGATGGTGCCCTCTCGCTCGACTGTCGGTTGTGGCCGACCGCCCGGCTGCGACTTACTGCATCTTACCGACACCTTGGAGGAGTGCTGCACCATCGCGGCAGCCTGATGCGTGAGGTCAAGGCTCGGGCGGCTCAAGCCTGGACGGCGTTCAACTCAAGGAAGAAGCAAATCTTTGCTTCTCCACGAGTTTCAAAGGCTGAGAAGGCCCTCCTCTTTGACAGCCTAGTTGCTACCACCCTCTTCTACGGCTCGGGCACCTGGCCTGAGCCGTCTGATGAATGTGTACTGAAACTCACAGGCACCCTCCGGAGCATGGCATGCCAAATGCTCCGACCAACGTACACCACCACTCAGGCTTGGCATTTAGGCACTGCCTACGTGTTGTCCTTGGCTGGCCTACCCAGCGTCTCCACGTACCTACATGTCCACCGACTCAGGTACCTCCTTTCGTGCCTCGTTCTGGATGTACCAGAAATCTGGGCTCTGGCTCATTGGGAGGGTATCTGGCTGCGTAGCGTTGCTTCGTCGGTGCAATGGTTGTGGGAGCTCACAGATGTAGCCCGGGAGCACCCGACATGGGAGTGTGCATGGGCTGTATGGAAGGAGGAGGCCAAACAGCGGCCCGGACGCTGGAAGGCCAGAATTAGGCGGGCGCAAGCTGCTGCTGTCACCAGAGAATGCTGGCATGCCACTGTCCTGCGTCACCAGGGTCTACTACTTAAGCAACTGCAAGGGGCAGGGGCCGTAGTTTCGGTTTCTGGTGAAGTTCTTGACGGCCCCCGGGAATGCTGTGCCATCTGTTGCAAACACTTCAAGGACTACCGCGCATGGTCCGTTCATGCATTTTCTACGCATGGTCGGACCGACGAAATGCGGCGTCTAGCCCCAGGGACCCAGTGCCCCATCTGCATGAAGCACTTCACCTCTGCAGTCAAACTGAGTCGACATTTAGGCTACAGCCAGACTTGTCGAGACAGGCTCCTGTCAGCGGGCTCCAGGCATGCGCCAGCGCCTGGCGTAGGCAGCCGCAAAGCCCACGACGATGGGGCTGACCTGACACCTGTCCTCCAGGCTTCAGGGCCCGAACTTTGCCCGCCTCCGCCTGCCCACTTTGTCATAGAAGAGGAGGCTGCTCGCCCTGCGGCCGAAGTCATTGATTGCCTAGCCCACCTTGACCATGACGGGACACTCCTGCGGCTTTCCAGCCGTGAGCTTTGGGACCGCATCCGAACAGCGTTCTCCTGTGTCTGTCTCCAATCGGCAAGGCTGCAGGTGACAGCCGAATGTTGGCAGACCTTGCTGGAACATCCTGCCCAGACTGCTGACCCTGCCGCTCTGGAAATCCTGAGATCTGCGGCCAGATGGTTGTGCACGGCCGACCTTGTGCACTGGCTAGTTCCTGCGCCTGAGGCGGGAGGCCCCACCACTGACACATACAAACACAGCGGCCTCTATCTCGAGCTCCTTGACTGTGCGCCGCTGTGCTGGGCCCGCCCGCATGATGTCACTGCGCAAACTGTCTGGGTACAGGTCGGCCCACTCCCAGCCGACTTTGCAGACTTTACCAGTGCCGTAGCGGCTGGCCGCCACTTGCTCTATGAGCATGAAGATACGCTCCGGGAAATCCGAGCCAATCAAACAGTTGACTTTCTTGAGTTCGCGGAACCCGAGTGTCACTACTGTCTGTCTGTTATTGGACTACCTACCGCCGAACCAGAGGGTCCTTCCTCCGGCCCCAAGTCCCATGAGGCGCAGCTCCCTGGATTTGAGCTCTCCTGCCGCCTCATTCGGACCGCTGTTGGACATTGGGTTTGTGGCATTCCGTCTCGCATCATCGTCCCGATGCCTCTCCCGACGATTGCCCACCCACTCGGACGGGTCTCTGGCCTTCTGAGACGCGAGTCGGCAGGCCTCGTATGTCTGGGCAATTGGTAGTCAGTCCACTTCCCTGTTTCACCCAATTAAATGCAAGCCTAAAGGGCCGCGTCACTTCGACACTCAGCCCGAAAGAGCAGAAAGAGCAGATGTATATATATATATATATATATATATATATATATATATGCTGTTCACGAGGTTTCAGAGACCGGCACCAGTCCACACGATGCCAACTTGCAGGCTGCCCGAGCGTGGCCAGTACGGCTACTTCGACTTGGTCTTCGCTGGGGACGTTATTTGGTGCCAGACCCGGCCTTCGCTGTCATGCTGCTTTCAGTTCCGATATGATGATTGCTCTTGTTATCATTACTGTTGAGAACAACAATCTACAACTATTGCTGTTATTACGACATACTGATAGTATTACCAGTTGGTTATCTGGCACACAAGCTGAGAGACCCCAGCATTCGAAACAAGAGGCATGAGAGCTTGGTGGAGCCGTTTCTGAAGGCCCGGCAGTCCACGCAGCCGAGTGATTCAAAACATATGGGTGGTTGTCTAGATTGGGATCCCTTTACAGGGTCGTTTTTATAGAGTCTGATACCCCCTGGGCGCACTGTTCTGCTTTTATAAGGGTGCCGTACTATTTTGGGGCACCTGATGTAGACAACTACATTTCCATGACACCATGCAAAATGCCCGGACCGGTCCGGCAAGTCAGCCACAAAAATATGACTCCGCCGGGTCTGATTCTTGTTCCTTGAAAGCCAGAGAGATTCGGATGAAAAGGTGTAGGGTTTCAGGACTTTAGGGATCCGTAAAGGCCTGAGATTTCAGGGTTCAAGGGCCCGAAGGCCCCAACCTGGGGCTCTTTGGAGCTCTGCTCCAGGCCGTGGCATGGGCTGCGTCGGGTCCTGGAGTTGGTGAGGTGATCCTCTCCCATAAGGTGGGGGCCTCTCTTTGCTTGCCGAATAGTTGGAGTCATAATAGCTCCTCATACTAGTAGTTCCTGGATGGCGTATATTGCTAGCGGTCATTTCCACCTGAATAGCTGCAGTCAGGCTCATGGGGCACAGGCTAGAAACAGGGTCATAGCCTTAGTTGGGTGCTTTGAGCGGCGGTGTAGCCTTGCTTCTCTAGTCCTACGACTCCTTGAAATCCCCATATAGCCTAATCAGGATGAAGCATGGTAAAGTATGCTAACTGGTCATAGTATCCTGTGAGTCCGCCTATAAGTACAGAATGATAAACATGGAAGGAGGGGCGCCCTCGTTTCCCTTGAGTCACAGGTTGCTTCGGTCCATGTCAAGGTTCCTGGCCTTTCAAGGCTTGTGCGTTGCGATGGGGGGGCAGAGCTCCGGACCTGCGCCCCCCTACATGAGGCAGTCAGACAAATAAAATCCCCCAACGCCTCGGATGACGCCGCATATCCTACTTGCCGACACCTTTGCTTCATAAGTCTTTGAATCCCGAAAGCGTAGCCGACAGTTTCGGCAGTTTGCTCCTTTTCTTTTCCTCAGGTCCGAGACCAAGAGTCTGTGCTGCTCTTCCGCCAGGCCAGGGTGGCTAAGCAGTGTAAGGTTTGGGAGGCTCAACTACAACGGTTTTTCGGAGCTTAACTGCAGAGTGCGGATTCGATCTGTAGAGGTGTAGGCCTTCATTATTGCGCCCGAGGATTGAGGGCTTTCGGGGTGCCAGAATCCTCTAGGCCCCCTTAAAGGCCTGAGTTCAGCATTTTGGCTTCAGCTGGCTTCCGGGTTTCCGGTTTTGGGCTTCGGGGCTTCGGGCCACCTCCTCCAACTCGCTCAGCTCTGCCAGATGCTGGCCCCGAACGGCCTGCAGATCAGCAAGGAGGCGGTTGGGGGGCTGATGGGGGACAGCAAAGTGCAGCAAAACTACAGGGGCCTTTACAATTAGAATAGGGTTTGGGGTATATTATGCTATAATATTACAAGAAGGAACCCCCAAAAACCTATTCTCATTATTAAGGCCCCTACATCATCCGATAGTTCACATGATGCGTTAACTTATTTCATTGCCTTGGGCCTGTCAACCACTGATCACGTTGTCATGTAGCCGTGGAGGGTGAAGGATACCAGGCAACATGTTGCTTTTGCTCTCTCCTTGTTTTCTGATGACACATTGTTGGTGGACAAAATCCTGCATGACCCAATATAGGGAATATACCATAATTCCCATAGTTTAGGGTCCTTAAGGTCATGCAGGATTTTGTCCTTCAACAGTAGCGTAGTGAGGTGCCCAGCGAGCAGGCGCTGGGTCAGGATGGGCACCCGGCCGTGCACGTGTGCCCTGCCACATCCCACCACTGCTAACGTGCCTGTCTTTTAGGGTTTAGGGGTTTAGGGTTTAGGGTTTAGGTTTTTCTTTCGCTGATGGGGGGTCAGGTACCATCTGAAGCGGGTCGCGTAGGATGTAGGTTATCGCTTGAGTTTATGGCGCTCCGCCGAGCAAAGCCCCGCCTGGTCGCAGCAAGAAAAGGCGCGTGTCGTTCATAAAGAACCCCAGATTTGCCAGCCGAAAAGACAAGAGGGTCTGATTATGGTTTGCCTCGAAACAGGATGATGCCGGCATAGCCACGACCTCGTCTCTGGCATCTCTTCACAGACATACATAGAAGCTGATGTTTACAGACCCGTGCAGGAGCTCGGCTCAAACCGTGCTGAGATCAACTGGAGGGCTGTTGGGACGGGAGCCATCCATGTTCGGCCTTGTGGCATCTTCTGGCATCGTGTCAGAGCCTCTGGCTCGCGCGAGCCGTGAAGATGACGCCAAACACTTTAGCGCAGCGCGCACTGTCCTCTGGACCGCGCGTTCTTCCACGCAGCCTGCCCGCGGCTCAGTCACAGTCTTTGCGAGCTCGAGTAGCATCGAGTAACAAATGTTCCGCCTGTGCATGTGTGCAATTTCACGTGCACTCTGCAATTCCGCTGTCATGCCGAGGTCCGCCCCTGCTTCGCGGGGATGATCAGCTGCTGCACGGTCCTCTCCACAATCAGAGCGATGCGAGCCAGGGTGTCTCGGTCCGCATGGAGGGCTGTGGGGTGATCACGAACATGTCCAGCTGCCTGAAAGTCGCCCCTGTTCTTTTGCAGACTGTCGCCGCAGCTGAGGTTCGCCGGCGGCACGGGCAAGGTCTGCAGACGGTGGAATGGCAGGAGGAAGATCTTCTTAAAGAGGGCTGGAGACCTTTGGGCACCTACCACGATGCCTCTGACCCGGAACATGGCGAGGCGCCGGCGGGGGAGAGTCGCAACAGTTCCTCACTCTACTGCATTGCCAGAGACATCCAGAGACTGTTGGCATATCCTGTCGTCAGGCAACCATTTATGCAAAGGACGACGCTGTGCGAATTTGCCACAGCATCTACGGACCCGTCCCTTGCAGCGACGGTGTGATCTTGCAGCATGACGAGGACGTCTACAATATTCAGATGGACGGTATGCAGGGGTGGATTGACGCCGAGGGCTTTCATTGCAGCGGCTACCTGAATCCGACGGTCGCGAATCTACCCTTGGCATCTCCGGCGCCGGAGGTGAGCCGACAGCCCGCATCGGTGTCCATCACCGAACCCAAGCTCCAGAAGGCTTGTCGCAACCTGGCTGCCGTCTTGGGCCCTGGTGCCTTTTCGAAGGAAGACTACGAGTCCATGATGAATCAAGGGAAGGGCTCAGACGCGCTCCTTTCAGAGATCAAGGCCATGGGAGATGACTACGGGGGGTGGGCCGCCTTCGAAGCAACTCGGGAACACGAGGAAAGGTCCGAGCAGCAGATTTCGGACAAACGTTCTCTTCGACAGCTTCGGCGGCAGATCTTCGTTCCCGGTGCAGGCCGCTTCTTTGAAGAGGCTGCCTATGACAGCTGGCGCCAGCAGCAGGATGCACGATTGCTTCCCACCGTAGCTGAGCTCCGCACGGAAGGTTACATGCTGAAGCATTTCGCGAAGCTCGAGACGGAGGCAAAGGACGCTGCAGACTGCATCCGTGGAGTGCTCCTCACGGGTCCGGAGCCTTTCGATGTCCAAAAGTCTGCCTTTTTTGTTGGATCTCCCTTTTTTCACCCTCTGCCGAAAGTGTCAAATCAAGAGCCTGAGACCCGGCACTGCGACGAACAGCTTGACCCGTGACGCCCAGGCAGCTCGTGTCCCACGTGCTGGGGAATCATGCCTTCTGGGCGGTGGCTGAGAATGCTCGGCGGCTGGACGAAGTCGAGGAGGCAAGCACTGTTTGTCTGTAGTTTCGATAGCAAGTCGTCTGATAGGGAGCCTCCTTGGCTTGAAGCTGAAATCCCTAAGAGCGAACCTTGTCCAGGCAGATGTGGCGGAACTGCCAAAGAAGCCCAAGTCCTTGCTTGAATGCCTCGAGCAGAGGCGGAAGAAGAGGCCCGGGAATGCCTTGCACAATAAACTGCTCCCTTCTTAGACCAGGACCATAACCACTCTTCCGAACACTTGTTCAGACAGTGTTTCAGGCCCACAGTGCCCTTCGGCCGGAAAATGTTAATTCCACAATTGCCGGGCTACAAATGTCAGGTTGGCTGCAGAGAGGGCGAAACGGGACAAGCCTTTCGAGCACCTGCAGAGGATACCGCCACTACCAGTCCCGGGAGAAGCCTTGGAGTTTCGCGTGCTGTCAAGCCAGGCGGAGGTTCGCGAAGCTGCAAGCAGACTGAAGAACTGTGCGGCCAAGTATATTCCCCAGGTCGTCGCGCAGAAATGCGCTCTGGTTGGCTTGTTCCGGAATCAGGAGGAAGGTGAAGGAGACACTACGTCCAAAATCCTTGCCATGGGTCAGCTCTTTGCCGCGGTATCTGATGATACCATCGTTACGAGCTGGGGACAGCGAGTTCAGAATTGCAACAAAACTTTGACGAGCAGCCAGGACCAGCATTTCGAATGGGCCCTAGAAAACCTTTCGAAGCTGTGGACAGAGGCGGTTCAAGACGAGCTAGACCAAGTCTTGCCAAGGCAAGCATCAGGCGAGAGAGTGATCAAGAACCCAGCAGATCGAAGTCAGCTGCGCCTCAGCTTTCTGGGCCGTTTGGTGGGTCTCAGGGAGTTTTCAAGGATCCTCAGCAGAGAAGGATACACACCGGAGTGGAAAAGCCTCGCGCAAGCCTTCGTGCAGTGTGGACTGGCTCGTGTGAGAGATCAGGGTATCATTGCTGACGAGATCATCGGGAGTTGTCTCGCAGTTGCTGGCATTGCCAGAGATTCCAACCTGCTTCGAGTCATCATGGGGTGGAAGATGCCGAGCAAGATCAAGGAAGCAGTATCACAGGTTCAGAAGGTCTTGGATAAGGCCGGAGGAAGGGGTGCAAGCCTGACGACGAAGCAGTGGGCGGACTTTTGGTTTCTGGACGTGCCGATGGACCCTTCGATCGTAGCTGACGAGATGTGCAGGATGCTCCGCGATGTGCCCAAAGAAGCAGCAAGCAAGCGAATGAAGCTAGTCGCCTCATTGACGGAGCCCTTGCTGTCGAACGCAGAGTCAGGCGATGCGGCTCTCTTTGACAGCATCGTGTCAAGGCTCCTGCGAAGTGGACTGACAGAGGCCGACACGAAGGAGGTGCTGAAGCAAGCGTGCCGATTAGGCAAGGATGCGAAGCTGATGGTGCTGCTTTCGAAGCTGCCGTTTCCCCGCTCGGACTTAGTCGCCTCATTGACGGAGCCCTGGCTGTCGAACGCAGAGTCAGGCGATGCGGCTCTCTTTGACAGCATCGTGTCAAGGCTCCTGCGAAGTGGACTGACAGAGGCCGACACGAAGGGGGTGCTGAAGCAAGCGTGCCGATTAGGCAAGGATGCGAAGCTGATGGTGCTGCTTTCGAAGCTGCCGTTTCCCCGCTCGGACTTAGTCGCCTCATTGACGGAGCCCTTGCTGTCGAACGCAGAGTCAGGCGATGCGGCTCTCTTTGACAGCATCGTGTCAAGGCTCCTGCGAAGTGGACTGACAGAGGCCGACACGAAGGAGGTGCTGAAGCAAGCGTGCCGATTAGGCAAGGATGCGAAGCTGATGGTGCTGCTTTCGAAGCTGCCGTTTCCCCACTCGGACTTAGTCATAGTCGCCGCATTGACGGAGCCCTTGCTCTTGGCCGCAGAGTCAGGGGATGACAGCGTCGCGTCAAGACTCGTAACAAAGCTGGAGTGGCACCGGCCGAGATGACGGCGGTGCTCAAGCAAGCTCTACAGCTTGACAACGATGCTAAGCTAACAGTGCTGCTGTCGAAGCTGCCCTTTGGCGCGTCGCAGCTGCTTGAAGCATTGACCGAGCCTTTGCTGTTTGCTGCAACGGCCTGCAATGTTGGTCTCGCAGACAGCATTGTTGCAAGGCTCTTACAAGCTGGAGTGACAGCCGACCACGTCAGCAGCATTCTCGAAGCAGCATGCAAGCTAAAAATGCGTGCTAAGCTTGTCGTTCTCCTCTCTCCTCTGCCGTTTCGCTCTGCTGATTTGGTTGATGCATTGCGGGATCCCTTGCTGTCAGCTGTTCGCAAAGGGGCCGTGAAGGTCGTGCATAGCATTGTTCGAGGACTTCTGCGAGCGAACGTGGTAGCACCTCAGACGTCTGGCCTCCTGGAAGAAGCTGTCAAGCTCACGGCGTCTCTGCGTCTAACCCTGCTTCTTTTTGATCTGCCATTCGTGGCTTCGGCTTCTTTGTTTGAGGCCCTTGCGCGAGCCTTGTTGTTTTTCACTAAGCAGCAGGGTGCCAAGGCACGTGTGGTGGTGAAACTTATTGGAGGCAGAAAGCGTTCTCCGACATCGCGGTATACGGGCCGAGCATACAAGTGTCTTCTTGGAGAGGGCGTGCCATGCAAGATGCTACGGCTTCATTGTGCACTCGACTTTGCCCTTCGAGCCAAAAGTGTTAGTGTGGAGCTTGGCAGAAGCTTACTTGCACGAGCTGGTTGAAGAGACAGATTCTGAGAATGAGTTCGCTGGATGTGGGTATTGCCCCGCATCTGACATCGAGCTGGCTCTTAGCCCGGCAGGGGCAAATCAGGTTGCATTTCTTGCCTGCTTGCTGCTCCTGGCTGTGGACACGCTGCCTCCTGACGCACCTGTGATCAGAAGCTTGCTGGACCGGCTGGTCAACATCGGGATCACCACACCAGTAGCAGAGTTCTTGATGGAAGACATCAGACCGGAGCTCAGGACGCATGAGCTCAGGACGCTTCTGAGCAGGAGTGGGATGCCTTGCTGAACGGCAGCCTTGGCCCGCGCTGGAATTAACTGCCGCTGAGACGGTGAGTAGGGTGCTAAAACGAGGCATGGTCACCTGTGGTCGTCCGGCACGAGGGTGCTGGTGTTTGGACTATTTTGTGTTAATCTGTCTTCTGAGTCTTCTGCTCCTTGAGCGATGCTGGCGGCAGCCACTCGGCACGATGAAGTTCTTTGACGCTTTAAGCCTTGTTGTGGCTGGATATCAATTTACCTGGCATGTCATGGCAAACGGCCGTCCATCCTGCTTGTAGATCTGGGATTCCAGGCTTGTGTCAATCTCATTCCACAATGCAGAGATGGGCTGCTTATATTTTTCGTCAGGTGCACCTTAGAAACTCCACCATCTTTGTTTCTTTCGGGATCAGGTTTTGTGAACGCGCTTGAGTTTCGGAAGCTTTGTCACAGCTCGTACAGGTGCAGAGGGCTGCACCGCGAGAAAACAGTGTGCTGCACCCGTAGGATAAGCAAGTCACTGTGCTGGTCCGGAGGACTCTCTGTCCAGGCAACATGTTCATTATCATGAACGAATCGTCATCGTCTTCGTCATCAGCTCAACATCCTCATCCGCCATCCTCATCCTCCTCCTCATTCTCTTCCTCCTCCCCTCCTCCTCCTTCTCATCATCACATGGGTGGTTGTCAACATTATGGTCCCTTTTTGGGTACCTATTATAATACGGCACCTCATATTTATGGTACCCAAAAAGGGACCCTAGTTTTGACAACCACCCACATATCATCACCGTCGTGGTCATCCTACCCGTGATGGTCCTTGGCATTGTCATGGTTCTCGCAACAGCAAGCAGAAGAGCAAACCAGAGAACCCAAAAACTGCTGGCCCACTGAGACTTCCTAAGAATCATGATGCATCTTATTGCATGTCCTCATGCAAACTTTTCCTCTATCCTTCTCTGTCAAGGCCTCCTTGCATCTAGGCCCGAGCCGTGTCCTTGAAGCTTCCTTTGTCCCAGAGCCATGAGCTTTCCGATGGAAGAGGTGGCTTTCAACGTGCTGCGAGCGGCGAAGCCGGAGGGTGCGCCGATCTTCCATGGCTGGAGTGGCCAGCCACTACGCGTGCCCCCCGAGGAGTATCAAAGGAGACTTCGAGCTGTCAAAGAGTTCATGGATTCAGATGGTATTAGCTTGTTGGTGGTCGTTCAGCCCGAAGACGTCTACTACCTCACGGGCTTGTACACCATCGGAGACTCGGCCCCACAAGCACTGATCTTGCCCAAGGATGCGGACCCTTTCCTGATTGCTCGACTCATTGAGTTCGACTTGGTCCCGAAGTTGTCCTGGGTGGCGGAGGCTTTCACATGTCCGGACAGTGCCAGCATCCATGATGTCTTCTGCTATGCGGTTTCGAAATGCCTTCGACCGGAGTGTCGTGTCGGCCTGCAGTTGGCTTCCATCTCAGCTGCCCACTACATCCGGCTCCGCAGCTTCTTCGACGCTTCCGGGGCTGAGTGTGTGGATGCCAGCAAGACGGTGGAAAAGGCTCGTCTTCAGAAGCCCTAAACCCTGTCCCCCAAAAAACACTATTTCTGAAACCTAACCCCTAAGGCTCGTCTTCAGAAGTTCGAGTTTGAGCGGGAGTGTATTCGAGCAGCTTCCGCCATGTCGGAGTCGGCCTTGGCTGCCGCCCTAAACGCGGTGACTGGGTGCCTGTTAAGGAATCTAGTTTAAGACAATAGGGAACTACTATAAATCATAAGGTTCCTTATTCTTACCTTTGGTTAGTAGGGAATGGAGGAGTGGGGTACAATTATAACTACTATTACTACCGTTCTTCCATTCCCTACTAACCAAAGGTAAGTTAAGAACCGAGGTGAAGCCCGGAAAGCTCTTGAGCGACCTCCACGCCACGGCCTACAGCGAGCTCATCCGCGCTGGCAGCGAGGCTCCCGTGCCAATACACGATCCCGAGCAACGTAGGAAACATAGACGCCAGTTGATATAGGGGCCTTAATACAAATCCTATACTGTCTCGGAAGCTCCGTATTATAATTATAGAGCCCCAAAACCCTATTCTAATTATTTATTGAGGCCCCTATATTACAGCAACGTATGTCTTAGTTTCTTAGAAGGTAAGCTGCCAAAGTGTTCAGGTTCCCGGCTACGTGCCCATCATACGCTCCACGGACCCTTCCGGCCATGGCTCCTGGATGCCAGCAGAAGAAGCCCCTCGGACCTCTCGGATTTGTTTTAGGGTTTAGGGTTTACCCTGTAGGGTTTAACCCTAAACCCTAAAACCCTAAGCAGATCCTATCCAGCATGGGCCCCTTCGCCACCGCCGGCCCCCGGCCCTATTCTTGGGCTAAGCCCTGAACTCCAGGTTAAAATCCGAGTTTATACGTCCTAGACCTGGTTCTCAACCCTAAACCCCTAGACCCTCAACTACCTTCTAATATGCCCCAAACAGCCACTATAAGGTCCATAAATAAGGACTCTATTTAAGGGCTCTTAGGGGTCCTGGTACGGGCCCCCCTTGGCGGGGGCTCAGGTCCGTCCTGGGAACCTGGTCTTCCTGGAGCACTCGGCCTGCAAGTTTGGTCATCACGCTCCCCTCATGCGCACGGCCTTTGTGCCCCTTGGCCCATGCGGAGTTCATCTGGGGGTTGGGCTGTTGAGCTCGGGGTGAGCGCGGGGTATGTGGACTTAGGGGTTTGGGGTTGAGTTTTTTTAAACATTAGATGGCCATATTCAAGGTCTCTGCGAGGAAAGCTTCGTTAGGGGTTTCCAAGTTTCTGGAACTCCCATGTCAATGTCGGAACCTGAAGAATCCTAGAGAACCAGAAGTGTTAGCTGTCTCAATCAGCCAGTAGGCGAGGAGAATGTCGCTAGTTGCTTTCGCTGCAGTGTACGAATCTGAATCACCAGTCTGCCTGAGGTGCCTCTGCTGCGGTTACATGGGGATAGCAGTGGAACCATTCGGATGCTCGAGGTACACCAAAGCCCTAAACAGCTGCTCTCGCTCCAGGCTGAACGAAGGCGAGGCATCACCGCCGGCGTGGCTGCTGGAGGCATCCATCTCAGATGACAAGCAACCAAGATCGTACAAGTAGCAGTAAGCTTACGAAATACCGCACTGGCGACAAGGCCGCAATCATCTCATGTAATCTAGTCGTGACAGCAGCTCATGACAACCATCATAGTCGTCGTCATCATCATCACATTGAACAACGAGATGGGTCGCAACACCTGCGCGCTAGTAGCAAGACTGGGGCCTAAAGTCTATGCCATGTGGGGCCCTGCCCCAGCAATGGACTTCAGGGTTTCGTTTGTTGACCACTGCAATGAGGCTGAACGACTGATCCAGAAGACCTTCGAGGTCTGTCTGCCGATGATGGTGCCAGGAGCATGGGGCATGGGTTTGAGCTTTACATGCTGCATCGCCCTATGTGGGCATGTCGAAAGACCACAACCTGCATGAATGATCAGATCAGAATAACACGTTCATTGGCCAGCTGCATCTGTCAATCTATCCTTGCAACGTTATGCAGCTTTCTCTGTTGCAACTATCCCTGCCTACGTGTATGTACACATCCGCGTGTATGGCCGCAGCATGTTGAGCCCCAGCGCGCCATTCACAGGCAATTTGTGCCAGGATAGGGACGGAAAGGCATGGGCTAAAATCTGTGGGGTTCCTAAACCGCAAGCCAAACCCCCTTCAGAGTTTCGGATGGGGGGTCTGAGGTTAAAGCTGAGGGCGTTGGAGTTTGGGGCCGTCAACACCTCCGGGCTGACGGGCCTTAAAGTCCATAAGCCGAGCAAGATCCCAACAGGAAAGAACCTGATAAAACCCTATATGAGAACTCTTTAGGTCGACAAGAGCCCTGTAAATCATTTCTATTGAGCCCAGGTCCCTGACTTTTACGATTTTTCCAGGAGCCAAGGCGAAGGATATCGACAAGGCTGGCCGCGAGATCATGCTCTCCAACACCTCGGACCTGAAGATGTCCGCGTGCTCCGGGAGAATTGGCAAAACTGGGGCTCCCAGTGTAGAGTCTAGAGAGGCCTGTAAAAGTGTGTTCCAGTAAAGAGGGGCCCTTGAATAATGTGGGTACTGCAGTGTTTTGGGGATGATAGAAACAATGTAGTCTGCTGGAAGGGTTCCTGGGTAGTTCGCAACAAGTGCACCGTGTAGTCACAGTGTCTACATGCCCAGCACAGGCCGAGCAAAGGTACTGAAATGCCTACGGCCCTACTTCTACATTCCCACGAGCCTGAAAGTAGGAGTAGAACAGTACGCACCGTTTGCACACACACATCTAATAGGATATCAGTCCAGAGTTAGGCATAGATATACATAGAGGATCTTGATACAGACATGTGCTTAGACATGGCGGTGGCGCTGCCATGCGCTCGAGAGTCCGGAGCTCTCCAATCCCAAGCGCTTAGTGAGACCTCAAAACCACCGAGCCCGAAACCCTAAATCCTTTAAGCCCTTCGGCCGTAAACCAGGAAATGACTTGAACTGTCGCCCAGGCGCTTGGCATACTCTACCGGCAGCACAGCGACACAGCCGACCGGGCACGCGGGATGGGGGGACGCAGACTTCAGCCTTGTCGGGAACAACGAGGCAGAGTTGCAGGAGGGAGCCCGGGCCGTTCTTGAAGGTGACCTTTTGGTGATTTTCCTAGGCTTAGGGCTTTTTTTTTTATCCATGTAGTACTACTGCACCAAGAAACACGGAAGAAGAAGTGTAGGTTTTGGAGAGGCCTCGCAGACCAGCCAAGGAATGACATTCCACTTCATCCCGTGGTTTCAGAAGTAGCTAGGCCTGTCTTGAACACAATGTTTACTTGGAGCCAAGATTCCATATTTGTAAAGAAAGCCCAGGTACACGGAGCCCTCGGGGCCCTTGGGCCTTTCAGATACCGTGCTCGTGACGTCCAATGGCGGCCAGCGCTTCGGTGCCTTGCCCCTGAAGATGACCGTCCCTGGGCGGCAAACCCTTCGAGTTTAGGGTTTAGGGTACCCTTGTAGTATCTCTGTAGTAACCCTTAGAGTATCCCTTATAGTAACCCCCTTGGAGTAACCCCTAGAGTCAGTACCTTATAGTAGTCCCTGGGCTCTTGTTAAGAAGCTGAAGTATGTGAGTGGTCGGTATAGGGGGGAGGATAAAGTTGTTTGTGAACATGTTTATATATATATATATATGTATATCTACGCACATACAGATATGTATACTTGGAAGTAGAAAGCTATCTTCATCTTGACGACTGGAACTGAGTTCTTTGGCTTTTGCCACCCCAGGTTCTGAATCCGGATGGCTCAGAGTGGCAGAACCAGATTGCTTGACGGAGCGTCTGCAGCTGTTAGATGCTGTCAGGGCACATGAGAAGTTTCAAAGCCAGACTTCCGAGACCCAGCGGTATCAGGGAATACTCTGAAAGGAGTTGGCCCGTTGAGCTTGTTGCCTTCATGGATGTCGAGATGCAGCCGTTCGCACCATGCACGCCATGCTTTTGAGGCTCTCAGCTTCGAATTCTGTGAAGTGGCAGAAGAGATGGGTTTGGGATAGGTCGGTCAGCAGAGCAAGCACGGTGGAGAACTCCAGTAACTGCCAGCGTGGAATCATGTCGATAGCACTGTGACCTGCTGCTGCTGCTGCAGGCTGGAACCTAGCACGGGATTGGAACAGTTGTTGCTGCATTTCACGCGAGACTGAGCTTGCGAGTGTCTTTCTGGATCAGGATAGCTGCCCATGCCCAAGAATGTGAACCTTTTCGGTACGTGCGCCGGCCATGGTTAGTCGCCAATCCATGTCTGAGGGTCGAAGCAGGCTGCCCATTGTTGAAATCCTGCAGGTATCTGCAGAATGTCAGCCGCAAGATTCAGCAAGGCTACAGGAAGAGCCAGATGACGAGGAGCTTAATCTTGTCCCCTTATACCCCCCTTTATGACCATACCGTACATACCGCCGCATCACTAAGCCCGATAAGCACTTAGCCCGGCCCCAAATCCACGGTCCAAAAGGCTTCGGCAGTTGGATTTCACAGCGCATCCCGCAGCCTTCTGGCCCGAAGCAGGGTCTTCTGCTTCGACAGGCCTACAGTCTCCTGACACATTATTTTGGGATCTATAGGGGTTCTGTTAACCAAGGGATCCATAAGGGTGTAGTCTCCTTTCAAAGTATAGTCTTTTAAAGTTTTGTTCATATAAAGCCCAAGAGAATATTCAACATCTTGGTTTTATTGTGGGTCTAAAGTGGGGTATAGAGACAGCGTAGAAAGAGTATATGGAACCAAGAGTCAGAAATCCCACCCACAACCAGCACGACAAGTAGCCTGAGCCCCTTTTACCCCCAAAGAGCCACCAACAAGCTTGAAACCTTCGGGTCCTTCAGCCGTGCCTCGAGATGCATCCCGGTTCGATGCGGCCGCGACCTTTCTTGCGTGGCATTCGCCGTAAACCTCCCGAAAGTCCGCTGCGGAGTTATTCCGGAGTTGTCATAACCCGAAACAGCCTGAAGCCCATTAAGATGTGAACCTTTCCGCCCTACACACTGGGTGCGTAGGTCCCTCTTATCTAGAATCTATAAAACAAGGGCCTCACAATGAGTATTGTGTTGTGGATGTTTACATAGGGACTACAAAGGGGAATAATTACTACGTATAAGCTCATGACTAACAGCCTTTCAGGATAAGTTCTAATTTGCCGCAATTGCGTAGGGACTTCAAAAGGGGTACTACGACTGATGACATAAATCCTGCCTTACCTTAATGACCCCAGACTGTGGGAGTTGTGGTATATTCCTCATTATGGGTAATGCAGCATTTCTATCATCAACCCTAAACTCTAAACCCCATAGATCCCTTAAAGGAGCCCCTTAAAGGTACCCTTCTAGATCCCTTTAAAGGAGCCCGCAGTGCCAAGCGCCTCTGGGATGCGAGCCGAGGCCCGTTGTTGCCCTCCTCGGCGCTTGGCCACGGCTGCTGAGGCAAGGGTCGAAGCCTTGAATCCTAAATCCCAAAGAGGCTTCCCCGACCCCCCCAAAAGGATCCAAAAGTAGATCCCTTAATGGGGGTTCCTATAAAGTACCCTTAGTAGTATAGAGCCCCAAATTAGGGGATCTGCTTTCTAGATCCTCCCGGGGGTCTGGGTTATAGTGCACCTCAGCAAGTTAGAACATGGATTTAGGATGATTCGTGCTAGGATTCCTTATCTTTTACCTTAAGGGCATAAGGATAATGATATTCCAGCTTTCAGGCTTCTGCTTGAGGAGATGGCAGGGTGCCGGAAGTTGAGGTTAAGGCAACTTGAGGGTGTAAAGGATTTGAGGGTTCAGGGCTAGGGGTTGAAAAAGGGTTCAGGGTTCAGGATTCAGGGTCCAAGCCCTAAACCCTAAACCGTTTAAACCCTGAAGCCAAAGTCCTCTGAGCTCCCAAGCCACGAAGCCGAGATCCCAAGCCACGTTCATTGAAGTCGTATACTCTCATCCTTCCATCCGCATCGAACCCCTTCATCAGAAATCCTAGACCTGTAGTTCTGAACCCTAAACCTGCTGTTCTGAACACGTTTTGTTAAACCCCAAGAGCCATTGGCCCTAAACTGTTGAGGTCACGAGCCCCCTCAGGGGCCGTCCCGCTGCAACGGCGCTGCTTCGCGGAAGGCGGCGCCGACTCCTCTGACTTTCCGAGGCCGTCGGTGACCGAAAGTTGACGTGGTGGGTTTGGGGATTAGGGTGGGGGATGGGTTTGCATCCACTAAATAATTTGCCAAACTCACAAACGTGTCTAAACGCACATGTGGCCAGGTAGCTTCAAGGAAGTATTCTAGGCCAACATCTCAGAGGTCCTCTTACATTAGACGCCAGATTGATGTTGGAACATCATTATCTTCCGGCACCTTAAGGCTTCAAGGTAAAGCACAGGGAATCCTAGCACTAATCATCCTTCACCCATGTTCCAACTTTCTGGGGTTCACTATACTCTGCCACCGCGCCAAGAGGTCAGAAACGAGTTCCGGAGACTCGGCGCCGGGGCGGCCGCAGGACTGACTGGGCTTCGATTTAGGGTTTAGGGTCGAGGGTTTGGGGTTGAGGATTTGGAGCATAATGGTTTGGGGTTCTATAATGGTTTAGACTGAAGGGCTTGGTTTAGGGTTTAGGGTTGAGGGTTTAGAGGTTAAGGGCTTGGGGTTAACGGTTTAGAGTAAAGGGCTTGGGGTTCCAGGCTTAGATTGCAGTGGCTTGGGGCTTGGGTTGCAGGATTTAGAGCAGTGGGAGGTTGCGGTTCAGGATTCATCAGGGGTTACCAGGACCGGTGTCAAGATTTAGAGTACAGGGCTCTGGCTGTTTTAGGGTTTTTGAGTTCACCATCTGACGCGTTGGAGCAGCAGGGCATGAAAAGCTATCTGAGCAAAGATGGTGGAAGGTTTTTGGGAGTTTCTGGAGAGTTCCGTTCCTCTGAGAACAAGGATCCTACTGTTTCGTATTTTCGTTTGAAACAGCTTCCTTCAAGGTGCGCCGGCTCGACTCTTTTGGGCCAGACACTGGCGTGAGTCTCTCATGAGTCATGACCACTTGGAGGTTTCTGGGTAGTTATAAATGGGTTATAAGTAGGGCAGCTATAATCATAACCCATAATTATTAGAGGACTGACACCTCCACTTATAACTACCCATGAACCTCCAAGCACATCCCTTTTGCTTGTTTGACGCACCGCCTCTTGAGCTGCCCTCTGTTGAGTCTTTCAGTGGTCCGGGTTAAGGGTTACGGGTTTAGGGGCTCCGGGACGCTCGCCGTAAGGCCAGGGTTTCTACGTGGCCACGCTAGGCGCCAAGGCCCCCTCGCTGACTTCTGTCACTGTCGCATGCGTGGTGGCATATGCTCCAACGCTTAACGTTGAACCTCGCGAGGCCCTAAACCCCTAAACCCCTAAAGCCTGAACACTTAGCCCCCCCAAACAAAGGCCCTAAACCCCAAATGGCAGCAGATTTCATGTCTTGAAGGATTCGAAGGATGCTCCACAACCTCCAAGATCACGTTCGGTGCTGGGCGAGGTCGACGCGGAGATGGAGCAGGCGTCCAGATCATCAGGGTTTAGGGGCTTAGGGGAGTGAATAACGACATCTCTTGATGGAGCACATAGGTTTCTGCGTTCCATGTTCCCAGTCCGCCCAATGGTCAAACTTGACCGGTGCTGACGTGCCAGCGTTAGCGGGTCCCATGTGAGGGAGAACCTGTGTCGCTCCGAAAGGTGTGGAGAGGGGGATGTTCTACAACGGTGCGAATTGGGGGGAGACGGAGGGCCCGTGAATGCTGGCACATTCATATAGTATTACATTCATGTTGTACTGGAAACAGCAAGTAAGACAACCCGCCCTGTTCATCGCCGGGATAGACCAGATCACCCAGAAACCTACTCGGTGGCATGCTTTCATGCCTGTGATTCGAAGGTGAATGTCCCGATCAGGCCTGTCATGTCTATACTACACTAGATGTTTCAGCAAATCCACTTGACCTCAGTTGTGATTGTTGCCGTTGTCGTGATGGCATTGGTGCCAGCTAGTATTGCCGGAGGAACAGTAGTCGTCGGCGTAGCAGCAGCAGAAAAGTAGGTGGTAGTGGTGGTGGTATAGAGGGAGTAGCCGGTGGTGGCCATATCGGTGGTGACCCTGGCAGAGCCAGGTTCGCAGCAGAGCCGGCATGAAGCACAACACGAAGTGGGACCCGACCGGCTCCCATCTCAGCATGTGCTAGGGCGCGCGCAAGTACTTCAAAGCCCTAAGCCCCAAAGCCCTCAGCCCTACAGCCCCAGCCCCAGGCCCGGAAGGGCATGCGAAGGTGAAAGCCGCCGACTCGACATTCATGAGCCCAAACTGCCCAAGCTGAGGTCCAGCGTATCGTTTTCGCCTGCCGGCGCAGGCCGGTTCCAGAAGCCACACATACGTGTGGATAGAAATAGGCAGATAGAAATGGCAAGCATATATCTAAATCTATCACAGATATCATAGGTCCGTATCTACATCTATATCTGTATCTATATCTATAGGAATATGAATATCGCTCTTCCTACAATATGTATATGTACTGTATATGACCATGGATTTGAATGTCCTTGTCGCAATGCTTATACATCATGCTCACGAGCATAGCACAACATGCCTCGACGAAAGTTCCGTGACGACTCCGCCATATATATATATATATATATATGCTCACCCCCCCCCCCGGTGACAGACCACGGGTCTAAAAAACACCGTGCACAACGATATTCTGTGAAGCAAAACCGTTACATGAGGTATATAGTATAGCACCAGACGTGCGGCACATGAGTTACGTAATAGTCTTGTGGTAGTATCGGTATTAGGGTGAGTATTGTTATTAATATTAGTACTATTGCTTGCTGTAAGTATACGTATCAATATTGCCAACTATAAATTAGTGTTAGTGCTCATGTTCGTGTTAGAGTTAGCGCTAGTGCCAGTGTCAATGTCAGTAATACAGCACCACTGCTACGAGTAGTATCAGTATCAGTCTTAATGCTGGGTTTAACAGCAGCTTATATTCGCAGAAGTGCTAGTATTAGTATCAATATTAGAACTAGTTAGTTTTGATATGTTAGTATATTGATAGTCTCGTATATTAGCAGATTAGTATATCAATACATCAATGTATTCGGACAGCAAAATATTTGCATACTTGTATACTAGTATATTTTACATGTTAGTACAACTGGTGCATGACTACACTACTATACTGCTGTATTAGCTTACTAGTATATTGACATACCAGTATATTCGTACGTTAGCATATTAGTGTACGAATATGTGTACTATATTACTGTTTTATCTAATCATGTATAAGTATATCAGTATGTTGGCATATTAGTATACGAACTTGTCATGTCGGTATTCTTGCATAGTGCAGTAGCCGTATATGATTATAGTCACATATTCGTATAGTATATTCATACAACAACGAGAAGTATATTGATACATTGGTATATGGGTATATGCCTATGCCAAAGCATTAATACATGAATGCACTGATGTATATATCTGTATCTTAAGATAGTGGTACGTATTTTATGTACATGAGTATATGCAGGTGTCTATTAGTAATGGTATTAGTTTTCATATCAATATGAATATACTATTGGTATTCGTAGGAGTATTAATGTCAATACTAGTAGAAGTAGGACTATTTATACTCGTAATAGCCATAATATGAGTGTTCATGCTGGTAATACTAGTGGCATTCTTGAATATGCAGCAGATTATCAAAGTCCGTATTAGTGTTGGTGATAGCACTACTGTTAACGCACAAGGGTTTACGTATTCGTATTCGTAGGAGTATAAATAGCTATGTAAATATTGATGTTAGTATAGATTTTGTGTTAAGTATTAGCAGTAGTGTTAGCGTTAGTACTATCATATTATTGATGATATACATTCGAAAGAATGTTTGTATTGTTATTACTCTTGACCACGTGAAATTCTAACAGTTGAATTCATGAGTGAGTTAAAGGATTTGTATTTTAATATGGTGGTATGCATGTTTATGTACATTAGTACATACAGGTGTGTGTTAGTATTGGTATTATTATACATTATTATCAATATGAATATGGTTATTGATATGCGTAGGAGTACTAAGAGCAATACTAATCAATCTTAGTATTTGTGTTATGCATATTCGTACTAAGCTTTATAGAAGTGTAATATTAGTAGTAATGCTGGTATTAGCTTGAGCATTCAACAAATGATCAATGTCAGTATGTTCAATGGCAATACTATATGTAGGAGTATCAATACATATATGTATATATAGATATACAGATAGATAGAGAGATATTCGTGTAAATATGGGCATGAGTATTGACAGCCCTTGCCTTTGCAAGTAATCTGGTCCGATGCGGAGACTAGCACGACAAGGCGCGCGGGTGTCCTACCAAGAAAGGAATTACAGAGCACACGTGTATGGATGAGGGTTGTGCTGATACACTACATAGTAAGCACTACACAGTAATCTTACTTGAGTCATATATAGAACAGATTCCAGCATTTCCAAAATTTCCAAAATTTCCAAAATTCTCTCCCCTAACTTTCCGCATTTCCAAAATTTCCAAAATTTCCAAAATTTCCAAAATTTCCAAAATTTCCCGACCTAGTCGACAGGATTTTTCCAAAACATAAGGGCGGACTTTTTGGAAATTTTGGAAATTTTGGAAATTTCGGAAATTTTGGAAATTTTGGAAATTTTGGAAATTTTGGAAATTTTGGAAATCCGGAAAGTTAGGGGAGAGAATTTTGGAAATTTTGGAAATTTTGGAATTGAGGCTTTGAAAGCTGAGTGCCCCCTCCCCCCGATCACAGACCATGCACTACGACTGAGTCGAAAGGGCATGGTCTGTCATGGGGGGGGGGGGTGACCATATATATATAAATATAAATATAGATATAACTATAAATATAAATATAAATAAATATATATATATATATATTTATACTTGTAATCATAGTTAGATTTACATATATATATATATGTATAAGTAACTGAGCTAGACTATCTAATTGGCTCACTCACTCACTGACGCCCGCCCGCCCGCATGCCCGCCAGCTCACACGCACGCACGCACGCATGCACGCACTCACTTACTCACTCCAGTCACTGACTGACTGACCGGTTGACTGTCTGACTGACTGACCGACCGACTAACATCGACTAACCAACTGGCTAAGATACTCGCTCACTTACTTACTCACTTACTTATGGACTTACTTATTTACTTAATTACTTACGTTTACTTCCTCTTCTTGATACCTGCTTACACTTACTTACACCTGCTTACACTTACTTACACTTACTTGCACTCACTTAAACCTACTTGTATGCGTATATATTGATGTGCGTGTGTGTGAAAGAGTGGATGGCTGGGTGGGTGGGTGGAGGGATGGATCGATGGATGGATGGATGGATGGATGGATGGATGAATGAATGAATGAGTCATCAATGGATGAGTCCACGAAAGAGGGAAAATGCTTGCGTTGCCTGCAACCCCAAACTTCAAGCGTGCAGCGCTCCTAATATACGGGCCGAAACTATTACCTATACTATTTTGGGGGTTCCCTATTATGATGAAAGCATAATGGGCCCCACGACCCTATTCTAATTCTTAAGGCCCCTCTATTACAGGGACTCGTGCCTGTAGTTTGCAAAACCCGAGCCCTACAGTAAAGCCTAAACCCGAAAGTCCGGTGTGAGCCAGACTTGGCAGGCGAAACAAAGAACGAGCCGACAGAAGTGCTTTTTAAAGAAAAGCCTTAAAGCCAAAATCCCAGACCCCAACGCCTAAACCCTCAAACCCTAAAACTTAGGCTGGCGGGGCACCGAGGGGTCCGGGTCCCTACGACGACCACTCGGGCCTTCGGTTTCCGACGCTTGAGACGGTCTGCTCCTAAGTCTGTTTGTGTCATGGCTTCATGAGTTTAGGGTTTAGGGTTTAGGGCCCCAAATCGTCGAATGTGCTTTGACTACGGGATATACGTTAAACGGGAGTAGGATCCCTAACATGACGAAGGGGGTATTCCTCATGTTGGAAGAACTGGGGGTGAAGTTTGGGATACGATAATGGGTACAACTGCCTTGAGTGCTGGAACTTTTACCTCTGAGTATTATGAGGGTGCCATGCGGGTGCTGTAAAGGACTCTATGAGGGGACTCTAGGTGTTTTTTAGAGGCATTATAGGGATATTTTATTTGTCAGGGGACTCTGTAAGGATCCTGTAAGGGAACTGCCTGAGCATCATCATGGCCCGTATCCTGTCTAGTACTTACAGCTTCTTTTTAATTTGTGCGTGGCAAAGCCTCCTTGCAAAGATTGCGGAGGCAAAGGGCATCCAGGACCCCTAGGTATATACCCTTAATATAGCTATTATCTACCCATTATATAGCCCATTATAGGGTAGGGGTCCCCATTAAACACAGAAAGCCTCGTCCACCCTCCCCGAAGCCCCAATTAGCGCCTGAATTCTTGCCTTCCAAAGCACCAGAGCCCTGCGATTTGGAGGTTCATGGCTAGTTATAAGTAGGGTTATAAGTCCCCCAATATGGGTTCTTATAAGTAGGGTTACAAGTCCCCCAAAAAGGGTTATAAGTATAGTTACCCTACTTATAACTCCACTTGTAACTACCCATGAACCCTAAACCCTATACCATAATAGAATCTCTATAGATCCCTTTAAAGGGACCCCTAAAAGGAACCTTCATATCTCCACTTATAACTAACATGCCCTGCGGCCGAGGCTGAGAACATCGATTACCACAAGGATAGGGGCCTCGATCGTGTGATCGAACGGGCATACCCGATCCAGGCGCAGCGTCGAAGTTTCGGAGAATCATCACTCTGTGAGAGTTTCCGAGAATTTGGGGGTACACAATTCCTTATAATAAGGATCCTACTGTTTGGGGTGCTGTGTTTTGGCCCCCCCATTTTCGGAAGCTCCCGTGTGGCTCTGCATCCGAGAGACTGTGCTGTCAGGGCCACGGCAGTCGTTGCAGTTGTTATGACTGACATCGGCAATGTGATGGTTCGGACTACTACTACTACTACTACTACTACTACTACTACTACTACTACTACTACTACTACTACTACTACTACTACTCCTGCTGCTACTACTACTACTACTACTACTACTACTATCGGAATCATCACCATACTCTCTGATTCCTGAGCTCGATCGTGACTTGATTCTGATTGTTGTTGTCAGTACTGTGCGAAACGAACAAGTCATCAGTGAGTAGGTAAATCAGACTAGTCAGTAAGGAGTCTTTGGAAACTTCGAACATCGTCCTCATCGTTTTCTGCAGGAACGCAAGGAGAGGTCACGTAGACATAGGCAACCGATGCGATGCTCGTTTCAGAGGACCGATGGCAGAAGCAACATTGTGGCATGACGACGTGAGTAATCAAGTTGTCAGGGCTCCCTCTTTGTCAGCACCCCCCTGGCTATCCCTCACGCATGCTTAGACCCTGAACAGCGCCTTCAGGTTCCGGGCTACCGGAGACTTGATCCATACCTTCGTGAGTACATCTACTTCCTTCACAACCTCGTGCTCGCCTTGGTTGCAGGGGATGATAGTACTAATAGTAATCGTAATCATAGTAACAACAGGAATACTGAAAGTAGTGCTGAGGGACTGGCATTGGCTTGGAAGTGGCATTGTTCATCCTGCTCTTCACGTTTCGTACTGGTATCATTGTCCAGATCAGAGTCAAACGGGAACTATTGTCCGTATTGGGGTTGTGATGATCCAGGTTAACTATACTGTTCGTAAACTCCTGACTGCTAGTGTTGTTCAGAAATAGTACTACACCTAGCACCATGGCAGCTGTCGTTGTGATGATGAGTCCGTTGTTTATCATGTTCCTGGCGATGCTTTACCAATGTATAGCAGCAAGAACCCGCTACCTCTTGCAGACATAAGAAACATCCGGGCTCACCAGCCGTTGCCGCAAGTCCCCGTACCCTGAAACCTTCAGCCCTCGACCCTAAATCCTAAGCCCCTAAATCCAGAACCTCCAAACCCCAAACCCCTAAACCCGAAACTCCTGATTTCCAGGATCCTGCTCGCTTTTCCATCACCAGGATTGCGCAGAGGCCCGTCACCCCCTCTAGCGACAGAGACGGTCTCATCTCGCTCAGCAAAGTGAAGCTATCGATAATAATGGTAAAAATATCAATAACAATAATAATAGTAAATAATATTACTTAATAATAGTATAACACTATCTGCAGGAGCAAAATGACCAGCTGCATGGCATGATGATTAGACAGTTTCTGACGGTCGTCAGACTTTTGCCGACGCAGTAGCATCAGCACCGTTAATAGATATCTTTGTCAGGATCCCACAATCCCACAGTTTAGAAGGATTGGTTGATTCGCAGCGAGGTATCGCATGCGGGAGAAGACTGTGGCAAAAGTCGTCCAGGACGAGATGCTTTGCACTTTAGGCTTCACGCCTTTTGGAGACTTCACCTGAATGGGAGTTTCCGAAAATAGGGGACCCCAATATAGCACCCTAAATAGTAGGATCCTTATTATAAGGAGCCCAAAATAACGTACCCCGAATCGCTCGGGCCTCAAATCGGCCTCAAAGCTTCGTAGACGAGCCAGGTTCTGGGAGTCCGTAACTCCAAGGATGCTAGGGGTACGGTTTCTAGCGATCGTGGCAGCCTTCATGGTGGGTAGATAGGCGAGTCTTTAGAGAATCAGTGGCTGCAAACCCTAAGGGCATTCGAACAGAAATCAGTCAACCTTCCTGATGTCTGAAACTTTCTTGGATAGTTACGAGTAGGATCATGATAGTTGTAAGACTTCTTTTTTATGTGATATTTGTCCCTGCCCCACTTCGGATATTTCTGACTCCAGTCTTCCCAACCCCATTCCCGAAACCCTAAACATTTAAAGCATTAAACCCTAAACCCTAAACATTTAAAGCATTAAACCCTAAACCCTAAACCCGCTAACCCGCTGAGCCCCCCCCCCCCATAAGCCCTAAACCCCGAACCCTAGCCTTGAAGCTTCTCATGAGCCTTCAGGCAGCCCCCAGAGAATGTTTGAAAAAAAAAAATATGGGAGTGTCCGAAAATAGGGGACCCTAAGGTTACTTTAAAGGGTTCCTTAAAGGGGTCTATAAGGGTTCTATAAAGGGTTTAGGGTTTAGGGAGTTTCCGAAGATGGGGGACCCTAATATGGTACCCTAAATAGTAGGATCCTTATTATAAGGACCCCAAAATAAGGTACCCCTAATTTTCGGAAACTCCCAAATAACAATAATGTCAGCGGCAATACCCATAATCATAGAAATACTACTAATAAATATTGATTGATACTTGATCAAAAATAATACCAATAATGTCAGTAGCAATATCCATAATAATGGTAATACTACTAATCATATTATATACTGATAATGTGAATGGATAATAAAGATATGAAACAAATATAGCAATAACAGTGATAATCACACTAGTAGTTGCAGCCTCAGAGGAGTGGGGCACGAACCACTACCTCACAAGGAGCCGAGTTACTGGACTTTAGGGTCAGGCTGAGGGTACTTGGAGGTTCATGGTTAGTTATAAGTGGAGTTATCATTAGAGTATCTACAATTATAACCCATATTAGGGGACTTATAACTCCACTTGTAACTACCCATGAACCTCCAAGTAGGGTTGAGTCTTAGGGGTGTTTCGGCTTGATAGGGCCATCAGGGGTAGCAGTCGGGGCTTCGAGTTTCAGGCTCATGGTGCATAATCTTCAGGGTTTAGGGTTTCGGCTCCTTCAGCATGCAACAACACGCCCCACAAACCCGGCTGGCACAAGTATCCGGCACAGTCTGCCGGCCACTTGTTCAATGATTTCCCTTCCCCCGAGTGGAGTGGCTAAGCCGTAAGCCTTCGGCCCTTAGCCGCCTTAACTCTGAACCTCAAAGCTCTCCCAATGTACCGGTACAGGACCGGACTGACGAAGCTCAGCAAGAAGCAGCAGACTCGCGAGGTCTGCCCTGGTATTGCGGTAGGGCCAGCATCGACGCACTTTCTGGGTTGTGCTTGTTTTAGCCGGCAGCTTTGGAAGGCCGTCATCATGGCCAAGAAGGAACAAGAGTACGCCAAGTGGGTCGGTGTCCTCCCCAGCATGGATGTTCTCTGGAGAGGGGTTCTTTTGGCATGCATGGTCGATGGGAGCGTCGGAAGGTTGGGACCAGCTGGGTGATGAGGATGACAGTGAAACGGACGACGAGGTCGACACGTTTCGAGTGTCGGTGCTCTGTCGGGCTTTCTGGGTATATGCCCTAAGCCCTATCGATGCTCTGTCGGGCTTTTTGGGTATATACCCTAAACCCTAAAGACTACACCGTGGCCCATGTCTGTGTTTGGAGGCCATCGGAGACACCAGGGGCTGGCGATCCACCAGCGACTGGGTCAGGGACCCGGGAGTTTTAAGATGTGCCCCAAATAGCTACCCTAAAGCCTAAACCCTCCAACCCTAAACCCAAAGACTATCAAAGACCTAGCGAGAAGTTTTCTAGCCCTGCTCTGAACTCAGATCCGCAAGCAGACGGTCGAGGTGGAGATGATGTGTGGACCTTACAAGCATATACGGTATAATTATGCATTGCAGTACATGTCGTTGGTTGCCCCCCACCCCCTTCTGCCACCCTCCCTCCCCAATGCTTTCTATTACTCCATGAGGAAAAGGACACCCCTTTTACTGTGGTCTCTGGTCTTTTCACCCCTCCCACCGCCGTTTTACAGGACCGGTTCTCCGTTCTCCCCCATGGGGAACATGACCTGGGAGTCCCCAAAGCCATCGCAAGCGAGATCCAAAACCCAGGCGCAAGGTACGCAAGAAGAGTCCTTACACCCCTGAACCCTGAAGCCTAAACCCTAAAGCCTAAACCCTGAACCCTAAAGCCTAAGCCCTAAACCCTAAAGCCTAAACCCTAAGCCTTGAAAAGGGGGTTTAGGGTTCTTGTCTTCTTGAGCTTAAGGCTTCGGGCCCTGGTGTTTGGGGGATACCATCACAACTCGCAACCAAGATTTGCTGTACTCATACATGTATATACACATATGCATATGCATATGTGTATATATATATATATATATATATAGTGTACATACAGTGTAAGTGCAGTGTATATACAGTGTATATACAGCGTTTCCAGTATGTATACTCATCTAAAGTACACGAGTAGAAGTGCCAATTGTTGTATGAACGCGAAGCAAGGTCTGCATTCCCAATGATGGAGAAGCCCGACCCTCACTGCTGCAATGTGCTGGTCGTGTGCGGTTGTGCGGTCGGAGTCATGTACCATCACTTTGACCATTGTGCACATGTCTTTGGGTCCTGGTTAAGCTTTGTGACTTACTTTACCAGATACAGCTACACCGAACGAAGAGTGTGAACAGCATCATCATGAATGGCCACCGCTACCTCGGTGCCATACAGCGCCCTGGAACCCAGGCGAGATCCGATGCCAAAGCGCGTGGACGTTGACATGGTGGTTGACAGCAGGAACCGTTTACGTACAAGCACTTATTGGTCTCTCATTGTGTTATTGCCATATACCAGGGCACATCTTGACCGTCTGCATCGCGTTGGTCTGATCCAGGCAGAACTTCAAGATCATCAACTGGATCGATCCGACGGACAAGGTCGTCTTTTGACCTGGTTTCACAGATTTCACCCGTGACATCCCACGACCATGACAACATTGTCGCGGCCTGAGAAGCAAAAGGAATAGACGAACGAAAGGCAATCAAAAATAGCAAACACGGTCCAACTTGCCGTGCTTTCCGATCATCCAGAACAAACTCACGGCCTCGCGGTTGTGTTTACGCCTTTCCTCTGCATCGCTCCGAGATTCCAGACAAAAAAGTGGCGGGAGGCTGCTTCATGCAGCGCTTGGGGTCTAATTAGGGTGTAGGGCTCAGGTTCAGGTTGTAGGAGTGTCGGGTTTAGGGTTCTTGCTGTTAGCTCGTTACCAGTACCTGCAGGGTGCGGAAGAATGCAGAATGCGTGCAAAGCCGCAGGGTTGTGCCGGTGAAAGCCTACGGCAAAGCACCGCCGCCACCTCGGATTCTTGCAGAATAACGAAACTGGCAAAGCTTGAGGTTCATGGGCAATCTTACTTCGGGCGATCCGTACCATGTAATCTAGCCAATTATAGCTACATTTACAGCTGCGGCCACCTGACTCGTAACCACACTCTGACAACCCTTGAACCTTTCAGCCAGCTGTCAGCTTTTCTGCAGACGGCGCCCTCGAACTTCGCAAGGTCTTTCTCGTCGCAGATGGCACTCTGGGGTTCAGACGACTTCAACTACGTGACAAGAAAAAGGCCGCTAACCTGCTGCTTTAATATAGGGGCCTGAATAGTTACCTATACTATTTTGGGGTTCCTTATTATAGTTATAGTATAAAGGGCACCAAAACCCTATTCTAATAATTAAGGCGCCTACATTATTGTGTCCTTATAGAGCCCGAATAGTAACCCGAAAAGGAGTTCTTTAAAGGAACCCCTATTCTAATTATTAAGGCCCCTACATTAAATGTCTCGAGCCTTGGGCTCCGACAGGTGGACCGGCCGGTGGACGCGGAAGAAGATCTATCCTCTTAACTACAAGAAGGAGCCACGGTTTTGGGTTTAGGGTTTAGGGTTTAGGGTTTCTTAACTACAAGAAGGAGCCACGGTTTAGGGTTTAGGGTTTAAGCCCTGTGGGTGAAGAAGCTTGTGGATCAGAAGCCCCCAAAAATGGGGGCCGAGATAAGTACCAATGCTATTGTGGCGGTGCCTTGTTCTACTTACAGTATAATTTGGCCAAATTCCCCAAGCTGTGCCCAGCCGCTTCAGAAGACCGACGCAGGTCCGCACAGGCCCAAAACCCTACTCTAATTATGAAGGCCCTAAACCCTTAAATCCTAAACCCTAAACCCCAAACCCCTAAACCCCAAACCTCCTACATTATTCACCAGGACTTCTTCTCCGACGCCCTCAACACTACCATCTACAACTTACGGGTGCGTGGGCCTAGTGAGTCGGTGAGAAGGTCTTCCGTCAGCCGGAATACACCGTAAGTTGCGAGAATAGGTAGGGATCTATGGTAAATGATATGGTTTCCTCATTTCTTGAGAAGGAAGATACTGTAAGTTGCGATAATAGCAGAGATCTATAGTAAATAATGTGGTTTCCTTATTGTGGCAACTTAAAAGTGTCTTAGCAAGAACCCAGTATGTGTTGCCTCTTGGCCAAGGTGACCCCGTCTGCTGTGTACAGCATGGACGATGCCGGCAGCTTTGACAACTACGTTCTGCGAACGCCGCCTCAGGACTCAGGCTTAGGGTTTAGGGTTTAGGGTTCAGGTTTAGGGTTTAGGGTTTAGGACTCAGGTTTGGGGTTTAGGGTTTAGGGTTCCAGGACTCCAGTGAACACGTCACGCCCAGCCTTTCGAATCATGCACCTGTCAGGCCCGTACTACTGATTACTACTGCCAGTCATCGGCAGCTATCAATCAGGGCCTTCACAGCAACCTGCACTTCTACTAAAAACTCACTTAAGAGAAGCCACTTCGCAACTTTCCAGCTTCAACCGGCAAAGGCCTAGAAGAAACCGAGCCACTGTGATCTTTCCCAGAGCTCCAGTCTGAACGAAGCAGTTTCGGACCCAAGCAACCATAATAGTATCCACAAAAAGGCCCCATAATATAACAGTAGCCATAAAAATCTCCATAGTATAATAGTTCCCATAAAAAGCCCATCAAATAGTAGTTCCCCCAAAAAAACCCCATAGTATAATAGTTCCCATGAAAAAGCCCCATAATAATAGAAGCCATAATCGCAGCCATAATCGTAGCCATAACAGAACTCACAGGAGCTCCGGTCTGCGACGGGGGAGAAGATGAGGGAGGTGATGTACTGGTACATGAAGAACCCCGAGGTGCAGGGTTTAGGGTTTAGGCAAGTTCCGACTGTCCGAGAACTGGCCATGGCTGCCTGTGTAGAGGCAGGCCCCAGGTATATTGTAAATCTGGTGCAATTTGCGGGACGTTTGGTTGTGCTTGTGCGGATTGCCCTTTTATTTTCGTTATTCTTATTATTAGCATCATTTTGTTGCCTAACCCTACCTACCTAACCCTAACCCTAACCCCACCTACCTACCTAACCTAACCTACCTACCCTAACCCCGCCGGCTCAAAAAAATATTTGGCGCTGCAAACATGCGCTGCTCGAAGCAAGGTTCTCGCGCAACCAGACAAGTACACGAAACGATCAGTCAGGGAATCGTGGGGCACCGAGCTCAACGGCTTGAATGACTCCTCTATGACCCGTGCTCTCAACCGAATAACTTTGTTCTTTTTTTCATGAACATCATCTCTGTGCATCCTCCGGGATGGACGTAGTGGCGACTTTACATGGGCTGCAGATGCACCGCCGTGTCTCGAAAGCATTGGTCAGGCTCATGCAGCATCTTTTTGCTCGTTTGGATGCTTTAAGGGTGCGTTGCCATGCCCAAGCCCTCTATGCCGAGTTGCGAATGGCGATCCAAGGCTAGGTGCAGAGCTCGAGGACATGGCCGCCCTACCAACCAGGCACTCTGGCTTCGCTCCGGGTCGCTTCAGCTACAAACCCCAAGCCCTCAATCCTCAATTTGAGACTGCCTTTGTCGAGGATCTCCCTGGAGAGCCTCATCCTCATGGTGATGATCTTGATTCAGGTGGGCTCTGGCGGCGTCCTGTTGCGTCCCGAGCCGGTACCTTCTTGCTCGAATCGTTTCGGAGCATCGCCTGAATTTTTTTTTGGGGCTTCCGGCTCTCGCGAGAGGCCTGCGTCCTGCTGTTCCAGAAGGATTTCGCTTGTGACAACCTGCCCAAGGCCACCGCCAAGGTGGGACGAGGGGACTTTTCAATCCGTATCTCTCAAGCCCTCAAAAATCTGTAATCATACCAGAAGCCCTTAAAACATCTCCAATCAAACCGCCCAAACGCCAAGCAGGTGCGTCTATACTTGTAACCCTTCTTAGGGGGCTTGTGGCCCCACTTATAACTACCCATGAACCTCCAAGTAAAGTTATAAGTGGGGCTACAAGCCCCCTAATACGGGCCATAAGTATAGCTATCTTACTTATAACTCCACTTATAACTGCCCATGAACCTCCAAGTAAACCCTAAACCCCAAGCTCGGTATCGTTCTGAGGCTGCCGAATCTCCCGGCCGGCTCCGTGGGCCCGCAGGCAAGTCATAAATTGCATATTCTAGTCGGGTTTAGGGGTTTAGGGGTTTAGGGTTTAGTTTAGGGGTTAGGGCTTATGGGATAGGGATAAAGGGTTTAGGGTTTATGGGTAAGGGTTTACGGGGTCTACGGGTCGGGGGGTTAGGGTTTAGCCATTGATGCCATAGTTATAGTAATTGTGTTGCAGTATGTTCCAGTGTATTATCGTATATTACAGTATATCTATATTTTAGTACATTATATCATACTCAAGTATATTGTAGTATATTATTATATATCATGTCATATTATCCCTGTGTTACAGCCCTGTGCTCTCAGGCAAAGCGAATCGGACGAAAGCCCCCAAAGCGAGTCCTTCTCAAGGCCGGGGTAGAGGGAGGGCGATAAAAAGCGGCCTTCATGGTTAGAATAGGGTTCCTTTAAAGGGATCCTTAGAAGGACAGGGTTCCTTTAAAGGGATCCTTAGAAGGACAGGGTTCCTTTAAAGGGATCCTTAGAAGGACAGGGTTCCTTTAAAGGATCCTCAGAAGGGTCTAACAGGGATCTATAGTAGGGTACTATAAATGTAGGGGGCCTTAATAGTTCGAACAGGGTTTAGGGGCCCATTCTACTATAAGTGTACCAAGGCACCCCCAAATAAAATGGGTGGGTTTAGGGGCCCACTACACTAGAATTGTTATAAGGAGCCCAGCAAAATCGTATACGTACTTATTAACACAGTGTAGGCAACCCTAAACCCTAAACCCAATCATTAAGGCCCCCCTATGTTACGATGCTTCTATGTTCTCTGACTTCGATGGTATGCTTCGCGGCGTCAGGGAAGGCCATGGGCAAGATCATGCACGCGAAGTTCGGCGAGTGCCCGGAGGCGTCCTTGTGATCATTTGCTATATCCTGAAGCCAAAATGACCAGAATTTGCTACAATGCACTATAATACTATAACATACTCTAAAAAGGCTGTATCGTTTGAATCATGGAATGGACTGATGGGCGGGGGCCTTGAAGGCACTGCAGGCTTCCGACGGTGACTTCCGAGGTCCGCCGTTCATCCCCAAAAGGCGGCCAACATCCGAATGTGCGCTGGAAGTGGCCCGAGGCGTGGCCCTCGACCCTACAGCTTAAGCTTTCGGATTCCTGTATTTCTCGGGTTTGGGATCTGAGGTTCGGATTCTTGGATTTGAGGGTTTAGGATCTTAGGGGTTTAGGGTGGAGGGTTTTGGGATTGTTTTTAGGGATTCATGCATGTGAGATCTTATGCACTTGTCTGTCAGAGAAGGTGCCAAAGCCTCGTGTCATCGTGGAGCTTGGGGGCAACCGTGGTGAAGACCTGCAGGCGAGCGCGTCTTGCAGGGCTCTTCTCGCTGTTTGCTGCTACTTGTATCGCTACTACACACTACTGCCAGTCTTATCCTCAACACAATATCCACAACTCTAATTCCTAGACCCTCCTGCATGACTATGATTGTTATTCCTAGTACATTCAGTATTCCTCTTGCGATTACTCTTTCGATTTCCTGTTTACGAATGCGAATACTGTTGCTCCTACTATGGTTGTTGCTTTTACATGGCCTTTTGTCCTCTTGTCTTCTTGGTCGCTGTCGCAGGCCTTCCTGACGCTTTACCCCCATGCTCACATCCACAGCTTCGAGCCAGTGAAATCGCAGGGCGCTTAGGGGGTGTCTACGGTTTGGGGTTTAGGGCTTTAGGATTTGGGAGGTAGGATTTCGGGGTTTTTGGATTTGGGATGTGTGATTTTTGGTTTTTGGGATTTGGACTTCTGGGTTTACATAGGGTTTGGGATGGATGATTGTTATGTTGAGGATTTAGGGTTCAGGCCCGTTTAGGATGTGGGATATCGGACCTTGGCAGTTTCATGCGCTGACTTGAGGCATTACGACTACCTTTTGCAGAAGTTTTCTGCACCTATCAGCGAGGGCCGTGCCCGGCACCTGACTTGCTTCGTCAGCAAGCGCTTGCATGTTTCCCTCTTGTATTCGCCCTGCTGTATTGCCACGTCTGCAAGGTGAAGATCTACAATTTGGGCGCCTCCGATGCGGATGCCAAGGCAGGACACAACCAGTTTGTTTCTGTATGCTCAAGATTTGGTATGTTCACTGCTCCGACAAACATCCTCCGAACATGATGAAACGACAACAAAGCACCAGCCAGGTGACTTTCCGAACGGACGGGGACATCTCTGCATCCTCCGCGTGCCCCGTCGCAGGGGCTTCCATGGTGTCTTTTCTTGCGGACTGTGGTGGGCGTGGTGGGCTGTGCGTAGAACTGTGTGCGGCCCGCAAGGTACGGTGCTGTTCAACGGCGCAAGGAGAAGCCTAGATTTGAGGAGTGCTGTTTGTGATGGCAGCCATGCAAGGAGGTGTCAGTTCGTTCATTCTGTTGAGATCTCACTGGAGGATGTTCAAGTCCGTGACATCCACAAGCTTCTGCAGAATGTCGCACATGCAGAGAGGCATGCCTCAAAGCCTGATGCTCTGCCGGTACCCACCCCAGAATTCGACAGACAGCCGGCAAGGCGACCGATCGACGTCTTCAGCGTGAACTGCGAGGGCTGCGAATATGTGGGGGCCTACTGTAGTGGATGAGAATTGCTTGAACTTGACAGTCATCGTCCATGGCAAGCTTGATTCGAATGGCAGTTAACCCTCGAAAGCAGATCAACACTGATTGCATGCGTGCTATTGGTTTCGAAGCTAAGCTCGTGCCTTCGCCAGCACACATGTTGCCCTGTCTTGACAAACCTGATCCTTCAATAAGGAGCTTTCCCAAGGTGGACCTGGAAAACTGACCCCGGAAAGTAACGCAAGACACTTACAGAGCCCTCTGGAAACCCCAAACCTTCCCCCGAAAAAACGGAACCCTAAACCCAACCCAAAACCCTAAACCCTAAATGGCCCTAAATCATCCCCCCCCCCCCCCCGCCCCCCCCCACCGAAAAAGCTGATTTTTTCTTTTCCTCTAGGCGGTCTTGGAGCGCCTCCGAGACACGGGCTGGCCAGGGTCTCGATCCTCCGAAGGTAAAATGAGGGGCCTTAAGGTTCCTTTAGAGGGTTCCTTAAAGGGTTTAGGGTTTAGGGTTTGGGCTTTATGGGTTGGGCTTTGTGGGTTTGGGGTTTAGGGTTTAGGGATCTATAGCAGGGTTCTATATAAATGGGAACCTGAGTTAAGAAACTCGATGTCTTTCTTGGGGTTCTTTCATATCACTTTCCATGAGTCCGAGCATATCAGCTTGGGGATGCTTGGGGTTCTTCGAATGGGGGGGGTCCTTGATACATTGGGCATACAGGGCCAGGGTTTCTTAATCGGGTTCCTACAGTAGGAAGCAGTGAGTAGAGACTTGAGAATCTCTGAGCATGGGGACCCCCCCCCCGCCCAGAAAGATGAGTTCTAAACCCTAAACCCTAAATTTTGGGGTTTAGAGCTGTTGCAGGGCTTGAGTCCTTGGAGTAGGTCGTGACCTGGCCCACGCTGGAATGTCCCTCAACCCCAAACCTGCAAATCCTACAGCAACCTCTCGGCCCGAAATCCGTAATTTAAGTAGAAGTCAGAAAGGTAGAACATCGTTCTCCTGATGGCCCTAAGGTAAAGTAGGAGGAATCCCCGCACAGAATCATCCTCAATCCATGTTCCAACTCTCTGAGGTTCTCTATAGAGCCTACTCCACCCCACCTGCCTCAGGTTCAGCAAGATCAAGGTTCTGCAGGTCTCCTGGCACGTGCGGGGCTCACAACCTTGCAAGACGCGTGCGTGGCGTTGTCGGGATTACAAGCTGAAGTGTCGAAGAAAGTTGCAGGTCTCAAGCTCGATTCCCAGGACTTGCATGTTTTTGCCTCCCAGAATCTCCAAGATCACGCTGCCTTCTAGCAGACGAAGTCGAGGTACGGCTGATGATATAAATCCTGCGCTACCCGTAATAAGGAATATACCATAATCTCCATAGTCTAGGGTCACTAAGGTAATGCAGGATTTATATCTAAACCCTAAACCCCTATAGATCCCTTAACGGAACCCCTTAAAGGTACCCCTGTAAATCCCTTTAAAGGAACCGCGGGATTTATATCATCAGCCGTAGTATCCCTCAGCTGAGGGGCCCTGGGGTCTGCGCCCTTCGAAGCCTCCAAGACCCAGACCCCCCGGAGGATCCAAAAAGTAGATGGGGGTTCCTACTATAAAGTACCCTTAGTAGTATAGGGTCACAAATTAGGGGATCTACTTTCTAGATCCTCCCGGGGGTCTGGGGAAGCGATCTCCAGGAGAGTCGGCCGACGCTGTCGACTGGCGAAGGCCGATCCCAAGCCCGGAAGCAAACGATTATTTGATATATGGGTGGTTGTCAAAATCAAGGTCCCTTTTTGGGTCCTTATTATAACACGGCACCTAATATTTAGGATACCCAAAAAGGGGCCGTAATTTTGACAACTATATATATATATATATATAGATATATATATAGATATATATAGATATATATAGATATATATAGTAAACCCCGAAAAGTTGCAAGCCGGAATATGGACAATCAGTGCTGGGATTCCCTATACATTACTCTTAAGTATTGAGGCTGCTTGAGTATATCCTCAATTAAGGTGTATTGAGCTCTCTGCAACAAGAAAATGGTGCCTCGGTATGGCTTGCATTGAAGAGTGGTCTTGCTCCTTCCGGGAAGGAAAGCATGAGCCCTCGCCGACGGCATCCCTAAATCTTGCACTTGAGATCCTGAAATGGGGATGCCTACTGACTTGCGGCCGAATTCTCCTTTTACCACCCCTTTCAGCCTTTCAGACCCCCAGAACCGTAAAACCCTAAAGCCCTGAAGCCCTAAAGCCCGAAACCCCAAAACCCTGAAATCCTAAATGCTGGAGCCCTAAAGAACCCCACAGACCCAAAACGAAGCAAGGACTTGCCGGGCACACACTTTCGTCTGGCTCGGATTGCAGACTTTGGTCCGGCTCCCACAGGGGCAATTGTTTTATTATAGCGATATTATACTATGATAGGATTATAATATATGTATATATATATATATATGTATGTATGTATGTATGTATGTATGTATGTATGTATGTATGTATATATATATATATATGAACACAATAGCTTATACAACATACTATAATCTGCTGCGCTATAAAAATTTACAATAATGACGATCATCAAATCGAGCGAAGTCAGAGTTTGCAGTAGGGTTTAGGAGTTCGGGTCTCAGGATTTGAGAGTTGGTGCGGTTTCAGGATGCAAGAGCTTGGGGGTTTTGACTGAGTTTCGGGTTGGGGCTTATGGTTTAGGGGGTTGAGGGTTTATGGACTTAGGGCAGGTTTCGGGTGTAGGGCTTAAGGGGTTTAAGGTTCTTGGGTGTAGCGCAAGGAAAATCTCGGAGGGCCATCCCAGAGGTGCATGTGAGCAGCACGATTGGCGATGTTCGCTTGAGCAGAGCAACATACAAAAGGGCATTACCACGCGGAGAACTCAAGGGGTCCCCGGAGCCCTGAACCCGAAACTCTGCACCTTACCCCCTACGGTTAAACCCTAAACCCTAAACCCTTAAACCCTAAACCGTAAAGCCTCAATCCCTAAAGCCTAAACCATTCACCCCTAACCCCTAAACCCTAAACCCCGCAACCCCGCAACCCCTAAACCCCTAAACCCCTAAACCCCTAAATCCTCAACCCCTAAAGCCTCAAACCCGAAACCGCAAAGCCGAGCAAGGTTGGACCATCTTCGTGGCCCGGCCCGCGCCCCGGCCGTGGAGTGTTCAACCGTGGATTGGAGAGTTTCAGGGTTTCAGGGTTTAGGGGTTTAGGGGTTTAGGGGTTTAGGGGTTTTAGGGGTTGTTGGGTTGCGGGGTTTAGGGGTTTAGGGGTTTGGGGGTTTAGGGGTTTAGGGGTTTAGGGTCCAGGAACTTTAGGGGATAAAACCCCCCGCATATCCTTATACAAAAGAAGCCTTAAAGCTTATACACCGTAAATCCCTAAACCCTAAGGTTTAAGGAAACCCCAGACCCTAAACAAAATGAGGCTTCAAGTAGCCTTGACCTGGCAGGCCGCGCCCTTATGCTTTGGAGGACGCGGAACAAGACGGGGCATTCGCTTTAGCATCAATTGCGGACAGGATTCTGTGTAAGGTGTGGCATCTCAGTATTGTTACAAGCTCTTCTGACCCCGTTGATGTTTTGAAGATATCCTCCTGACCTTCATGATCCGCCGGAGGTTGCGTGGCATGTACCAGGAAATTGCGCTTTCGGTTGTTTGTTGTTTTTCCGCTTTGCACTGCCGCCAGGAGAGCTTCCGTGGCAACCAGACGCCAGCACAGATTAGTCACAGCAATGGTCTGCCCCAGGCAGGATTACATGCTCGCAAAGCGTCTTCTCCCTGGGCATCGAGGGGCTGCTTTGTTCTTGCCAGCATTGGTCTTTCCGTCAGTTGTCTTCTTGCAGGCCCTGGTGATCTTCGTTTTGTTGCTCTTACGTACTCTGGTGATGATGACCGCAATACCCCAAACCCTACAACCTTACTAAACCTTATAAACCCCAGATCCTAAACAAAAAAACCCAAACCCTAAATGGGTGTTTCCGAAAATTTGGGGTACCGTATTTTGGGGTCATTACACTAAGGATCCTACTATTTAGGGTACTGTATAAGGGTCCCCCATTGTTGGAAAGTCCCAAATCTCAAATGGCGACTGTCACCGTTGGAGGCCGCGGCTGGGATCCACTGTCCCTCGGGGAGGTCTGCCGAGCGAGTGGGCGAGGACCCAGGTGGAGCCGAGCATGGCTTAGCATACTATAAAAGGGGTCCATAAGGGCTACGGTGAGGGATCTATAAGGGTACTGTAATTATATGGTCCTAAATAATGACCAGTACTATCTGGGGGGGCTCCTTACTATAAAAGTGGTATAATGGGCCCAAGAACCCTATTCTAAGGTTAAATGGGGTATAGTGGGCCCCAAAACCCATAACTAACTACTAAGGCCCCTAGACCCTCGTGCCTCGCCCAGCTTGGGCAACAGAACTGCAGCAAAAACCGAAGCCGCACTGGTCGTCTCGGCTGGGCAGAGGGTAAAAGGAGGGACCCTTAATGAGGACCCCTAGGTATATAGCCTTAATATACCTATTATACATTATAAAGCCTAAATGTACCTTTTTTATACCCATTATATAGCCCATTATAGGGTAGCTTTGGCTCAATACTGTGCCTGGAGTCCTGGTTCATCTAGATAATGGAAGGTGTTTCAGGAATCTAAGTGTTCGCTTAAAATCTAAGTGCTGCGTTACCCATTACAAGAAGCGAAGCTGGATGTTTTGGATTGCTTTGGTATAAGAATCCAAAGTGACAGTAAACCTCTAAGATGAAGTCTCAATGCAGATCACGGTTTGCTCAGTACAGGAAGGAAATCGCTTTGTCTGGGATCCAAGGGGGTGCCAACATCAGAGAAAATGTGGGGTTCACGGGCATGCCAACCCCAGATTTAGTTTGGATTCGGGTATGGTTGCGGTTGCAGTAGGCCCTCTCTGCCAGGTGTCATGCAGTCATTGGGTTTTCCTAGACTCGCTTAAGTAGGGGATAGTCTGTAAGCTGTAACTGTATGAAGGAAGCCTGGATGATGGACGAACCTATCTTGTGGTTGTTGTATACTCGGGTTGCCTCTGGGGTACCTATGTTGAATAGTTGAGCGTTGTTTTCACGACTGGCTACAAGAACCCTTGCCGCTCGGGTGGTTGTTCTGCGCATGGCTTTTACATGGCCTTAGGCTCGCAGCAGAACGAGCCAGTGTAAAGCTGTTGCATTCAACGACCCCAGGATGGCTTTCTAGGAACCAGGATTGTCAGGATTTTCGGTTTCAGCGGTTGAAGGTTAGGAGTGACATCCGAAGTTTCGCCACAGCGCGGCGCTGAATGGCAGCGCTGACGTCATCTTCGCCGTGCGAAGAGTACCTGCCTCTTTCGGCCAATGTCAGTACCATCCCTGCGAGACTTGTTTTGAACAGCAGCAGTTTCTTGTGGTAGAAGTATGTCACGTGTAATGGTTAGTCATGGTTTGTAGAGGCCTTGTTATCCTGCTGCCTCAAGGGCGACACGCTTCGTTTCGTCTGGGCTGTAGAGTCTCCGAACCGAACTTAGGATGCAAGCTCCGTGGTGATCCCTATGCGGTCCTTGGCTTGGACCGGAATGCCGATGACCGGAAGATTCGGGCAGCGTACTATCGCGAGGCTTTGTGGGACTTCTAGGACTCGAGGTGTCGGATGAATGGTAGGCTTTGGTGTTTAGGGTTTAGTGTTTAGGGGTTGGGTTTGTGAGTGCGTGTGGGTTTAGTGGCTTTTGCATTCACGCTTGTGTAGCCCCTGGCAAGTTGCCTCGCCTCGCACGGAGATCACTATCATACCTTAAATCGCCATCTAAAACCCTTTTATTTGAACGTTGAACCCTGAACCCCAGGAGTGTTCAAACCAAGATCCTAAGCCCGAAGCCCGAATCGCGAAGCCCTCTACTCAAGCAGATGAAAAAGAGCCTCCGAAAGCAAAAACCATGAGCCTTCATGACGAAGGCCCGCCGTTGGCATCCCGACAAGCAGCAGAACCCAGATAAGCTGGCGCAGAGTACGGCCAAGTTTCAACAGGCCTGAGATAGTTGGTGGGGGAAGGGGAGGGAGGCTGGGTTTGGGGTTTCGGATAATTCCTGAATGGGGAATGGCGAAGATACGCTTTAAGACATGCGAAGCTGGTGCAGGACAGCGTAGCGACGCGCGTTCTCGAAACAGTAGTGCAGTGAAGCTAATGACTCCGAATCACCCGCTGTTCTATCAAGACCGTTAGCAACAGCGGCATCATACATGGTCAAAACAAACGTTCGCACTCAAGGAGATAGCATCACTCGTGACCAAATGTAGTACTCGCAGCAAACTCAAGGTTTCACAGTTCCCAGACACCCGCAAAATATTCCGTTAGGGACACTTCAGATCGAGACTCATAGTCGCGAGGGCCCAACCCTACATGCTCCTCCAAACTCCCTTTTCAGCTGGGCCTAGGTCCAACATGCCTACGAGCAGATTCTGTGCTCCGGCCGCAGCGATTCTGCCAAACCCACCAAGCAGCTTGTCTCATCGAGATGCCTCATCTATGAGGGTAAGGTTTCAGCTTTTAGGACAGGTCTGAGTTGAATTCAAGGTGCTTCAATGGTGACTACTCGTATTGCTTCGTCGTCTCTGCATGGACGTAAACCGGGTGTAGAGCTATGAACTGAATCAATCGTGATCGCATACCCGCTTCATCCATTTTGCTGGCCCCGCAAAGCCGGTTCCAGGGAGCCTGTAAAGCCCGCACTGTTTGAAGCATCGTTGCCTGCTGTAGCCCCCCAGGCAGAATTGCAAGGCTGCCACACCTGGAGCTTGGCCCAACAGCAGCTCCGGAAATTGCCACGGCCGGGCTCTTTCCTTCTTGTGCAGTGCGCTTGTTCTGTGAGTATTTCCTTTGTTTGAAGGCTCAGCCCGCGCCCCTCAGCCGGAGCCACGGCGGCCGGATCCGGAGCCGCGACCTCGCGCCAGAAGCGGACGCGGCGCGCCGCTCTTCGCGGAGGGCTGGACTCCGGAGGAGCGACGCTGGCAGGAGGCGGAGGCGCAAATGCAGCGAGAGGCCGAAGAGGCCGGTCCAGAGCATTAGAGCACAGTGCAAGCATGAACTTCGCGACTTGGGTTAATAGGGTTTAGGTCTCATTACAGGCGCTAAACTTATCAAAACGCATCAATTTGAATTAGAGGGGTTTGCTTCTCAATCCAGGTCATGGGCCGATCTGCAGAGTACGCCGAGGAGGTCCTTCGGAGGCCCAGCGCTTTGCAAGTTTGTTGCCCGTCGCACCGGAGCTCTGTGCCAGGAGATACCAGCAGCAGAAGGCATCTCTCCAAGAGCTGCTGAAGCAGGCGCAAGAGCGCAAGCGAAGAGAGGGGGAGTCCATCAACGAGAAGTTGCGCGACTGGAATCGAAAGCAGAAAGATGCTGAAGGAGGAGCTCAGGAAGCTCCCGAAGAGTCGGTGCCAAAGGGACCGGAGCCTGACCCAAGCGAGCCGAAGGGCCTTGCAGGACGAGGCCCTTTGGGCCCAAGCCAGAACGCGGAAGCGCCAGAAGCCGCAGAAAACTCTGTCCCACCAGAGCCGGCGACGGGTGGGCCTCTCCCGAGAGAGCTCCTAGATCCCACGAAGGCCGCGAGGAGCGATCCGGCCGAGTCACAGGGATGTTTCGATGGCCCTGGAGACGTCCCAGCAACGCCCATCTCCCGCAGACGCAGGGGGTCCCGTCGCACGGAGTCTCAGGGCTCTCGGCGACGGAGACGCCACAAGGGCCAGGAGGTACAGAAAGTCGCTGCCGGGCCCTTGCCAAGGCCTCACTCCGTGGAGGCCTTCGAAAGGTCTTCGCAGCAGGGGCCTATCGACAAAGACGAGGCGGGAACGGGGAGTATGGTAGGGGCCTTAATAATTTGAATAGGGTTTTGGGGTCCATTGTACTACGATAATAATAAGGACCCCCCCCAAAAAAAAGTATTGGTTTAGGCCCCTATAGTCACACAGCATCTCTAGCATCGTTTTTCTGCAGCAGTCGGAGATGGGTTGATGCTAAAAAAACACCAAAGCGGCCCATCGTCCTGTCTCCAGGCACCAGCGGCCGCTATGGTTTTGGAGGGCCTCAGGCTCGGCGCGGCGAAGGGACCCCGACCTCTTCATCTTAATTTAGGGTTTAGGGTTTAGGGTTTAGGGTTTAGGGAACCACTTTTCGCCAAGTAGATGCATTGACTACAGAAGCGGGCTTGCCACCCAACTCCCACGCACCAGACTCGATAAATGCGAAGCTGCCAGGCCAGCCGTGTGGCGATGGCAGCTCTGCTTTTTTGCTGGTTGTTAGACCTCCACCATCTGAAGGTTTCTACATGATCGGCTTCGTTCGGCCCGGTTCCACGGTCAGAGGCTTTACAAACCCTCAATCGGAGTGGAAGAAGAGTTCTCATGATATCATCACTGCTCTATACCCAAGCCTCATGGCCTACATTCCTACAAGTCTTGCGCACCAGAGTCCGGAGCCGTGGATCCTAGATCCCAACAAGCATGAACTGCAGACCCAATCTAAAAGTCCTTGGACCACCCCGAAACACTAAGCCCGAAAGCCGAAAACCCTAAACCCTCATGCCCTAACCCGAAACCCTAAAGCCACAACGCCAAGACCCAATCTACAAGTAAAGCCCAGGTATTTGCTCTTCCGGCTCTTGCTGCTTTTGCGTGACCGCGGCCGGGCGAAGGCTCAGTTGGGCGGCGCCGTGAGGCTCGCCAGGGCACCGGGTGGTGTGGGTTTCAGGGTATGGGATTTAAGGTTTTGGGTTTAGGGCTGTGGTGGTTTCGTGTCTTAATTGCCACAAGTGGCAGCGTTTTTGGAGCTAGGGGAGGAGTGTCTGTGGAGTATCCTGAGCCCGGAAGGGACCCCGAAAGTTGATTGGACATTGGGCTTTGGGGGGGGGGTTTGAAGGTTGGTCAATTTAGTCATTAGGGGTTTAGGGTTTAGGGTTTAGGGGCCCTTCATTAGTGTTTGGGTTTTGGGGCTTTCCGGCATCATATACTTGTAGGTACTTACTGCAGACTTCTCTCTACCCAGTGAACCTTCTCCCCGAGGCCAAGCTCCCTTAAACCTTACCTTTGGTTAGTAGGGAATGGAAGAATGGTAGTAATAGTAGTTATACTATTACTACCATTCTTCCATTCCCTACTAACCAAAGGTAAGAAACTTGTGCACGCAGGCGTTTGGCATCGCAGTGGTCGCAGCTTGCAGAGGCCTCATGGAATGACAATGCAAGGGCATTGTTGAAGGTTGATGGGTTGGGTTTTCAGTATGTCGGCATCTATCCGGGGGTCCTTCAATTAAATTCACATGCCGATCGTGAGCCCTACGTTTTGAAACCTCAGACGTTGAACCCCAAACCCTGAAAACATGTAAGGCTGTACCACCATGTGACTATGCTCCGCTGCCCCAAGCACAGCGACCCCTCAACCTGAAGCTCTGTTTCGAACTGCTCGGTGTCGAGACCCCATGGGACCGGATCCCAGAGCTAGGGTCTAGGGTTTCGGGTTTAGGGGTTTAGGGTTTAGGGTTTTCTCGGGGCTTTTGCTAAGGCCCAGGTTTCGGCGGTTTGCGGATTCAGGCGGTTTCAGGATTTTGTTTTTTTTTCAGCCCCGAAGGAGCCTGCAAGCAATGCACTTATGAGTTCAGGTGGTGGAGGCTTGAGGGTTTCCTAGAGAAAAACCTTAACCGTTACATAACCTAAACCTTTAAACCCTACACACCCTAAACCCTAAACCTAAAACTCCAAACCCTAAACACCCTAGAAGTACCTTGAGATCCCAATACCCCTAAATTGAGGAATACACCGTAAGTCATTATATGTGAAGCCCCTACAATTTAAGGAATCTTCCTTAAATTATAGGGGGCTTAATATTATGATTTAAGGTATATTCCTTAATTTATAGGGGGCTTCATATGAATATGATTTAAGGCAAATTCCTCGATTAAGGGGTGTTGGGATCTCTGGGAACCAGGGCCTTCTGCGCCGTTCGCGCGGCCCTCTGGAAGAGCGCGCCAGGCTGGCGAGAAGGGAGTCTCCTGGCTCAGGGAAGCGGACAAGGATGCAGCGAGTTATTGATATTATAGGAACCTGATTAAGAAACCCCAGGCCTAGAACCCCACATAGTAGGATTCATATCAGGAACCCTAGTAAAGGCCCAAGGATTTTTCATCAGGTAAGCAGGTGAGCCTTTAGGGTTCAGGGGTTGCATGAGAGTTGTAATGCAAGGCAAGGCATAGTGCTAGTTTTTATCAGTGTCGTAATGCTGGCGCATCAGCGCAACTCATTGTTGTGGCAAGGGTCCTTTTGAGATAGGACGACCGAAGTGCTGGCCAACCAGTGCAGTGCAGAACTCACCTGATGGTTCTTCACGGAGTACAGCTGAGGTGCGTGCTGGAACAGTGGGCCTCGCTTTGTGCGGCCTTGCAGGGCCGAGCACGGTCGCAGGAGCGGGGGAAGTACTCACCATGGGATCAGGCACTACTGCTGATTGTTGGTAGTACGTAGCCGTAGTAGCAGCAGCAGCAGCAGTATTGGTAATATTGGTAGAAGCCGTAGGAGGAATTAGGACTAGGAGAGGGAGGAGGAGGAGGAGGAGGAGGAGGAGGAGGAGGAGGAGGAGGAGGAGGAGGAGGAGGAGGAGGAGGAGGAGGATTTTTTCGGGAGTGTTTGACTTCGCCGAGGAGCATCTCCGGAAGAGCGCTCAAGACAGGATCAAAGCCTCCCTGGCCTCGCCTTTCTCCGAGCTTTCTCGGCATAATGGCGCCGATATGGACCGGTAGCTGCTTAGCGAATTGAAGGCTTGGAGAAGGCCAGGAGGTTCGGGTATTCAAGTTGGGTCCAGGGTTCCGGTTTTTGGGGTTTAGCCTGGGAGGTATGTGGTATGTGGAAGTTTAATCGCGAGGTTGTACAGGAATGAATCGTAGGTTCTTTTGCATCTGCCTCTCTCTGCAAGGCCAGAGTGTCGTAGTGGCAATGCTGCTAATATTCATGATGCACCCGCTGCGCAGTCAGATTGATCAAGTGCTCTTGCGAAGTTCGTCGCATTGCTAGTGGAACCGCATTGCCTAAGGGCGTAGTAATACGATGGTGACCCTGCAGCGCGTGCTGGTGGTGACGAAGCCTCCACTCCTTTTGTCTTGCGGTAGCGAAATACGTCAACCGCAAGAAGACAAGTTAGCGAGCCTGCCGTGGGTCCGGAACTCTGGACATAGCTCTGTGCGACGAGTGCGACTCGTTGCTTATGCTCTTACCTAAACCCTAAAGCCAAAAAACCCTAAACCCTAGTGACTATACTCTTATTAAATCTTATTACCTAAACCTTAAATCCTATAAACCCTAAACCTTATACGCTTCGTGGTGACCTTCAGCATGGAGCTCCTGTCCATGGCAGCCTCTTGAGCTAAAACAAAGCTCAATTGGCTGCCAGCGTCGAAGCCTCGGAGAGCGATCTGAAGCTACACAAAGAAGAAAAGAGACTTAGGGTGACTCAGACTCGGCGTCTTGAGACACTTTTGCCGTAGCTCTTGTTCAAGCATCTCTGACTTGTGTTGCTTCTGAAACTCTCTTCCTCTCCCTCCCCCCTCCTTCCGCCAGTCCTTCTCCCTGACAAATTCGGCCGGGAGGTGTCACCATTCACAGCGATCCGGACGCCGCGCACTGGACGCGCCGGCCTAAGGCCCAAAGGCCGAGCCAGCCTACTACGGGAGCCTAATCACTCCCAAGACTAATCCGTAGGGTTTAGGGTTTAGGGAAATATTATTCCTTACATTATAGTGATACTTGGAAAGGAGCCCAAAACCCTATTCTGACTACTGAGGCTCATACATTCATACATTAGACCCTCAAGGTTTACATCGGAAGCCCTAGGCCCAGAGCTTCCAGTATACCTTGAAAACGCCTTCCGGAATTGCTGGTCAAGCGGCAATAATGGGAGTCTATTTAGCGTCATCACATTGCTTAGAGAAGGGAGAGGGAAAGCTGTGCGAAACTGCAAATTGCCCAGCTTAAACTCTCAATCCTAAGGCCGATGCCGGTTTTCCAAGAGAGGCGTGCTCCAAACCCAAACTCTACTTGCAGTCTCAGGTTAGTGAGTGGTTGTATGTAGTGTTATAAGCATGACAAGCAACATGATGCCAGTCATGGTATTTTTGATTTTACTTGCAGCCTCACTACTTCGTCCCACGGTACCTTGCCGGTCCCTAGGTATCCGCAAACCATGGACCAAGAGGCTGCGTTGCAGGCCTCGAACCGCCGCCTTTGGGCGTTGAGGGTCGTTTTCGGATTAGAAGACAGGGTTTGGGATACGGAGTTTAGGGTGTTCTTCACGTCCTTGGGTTTGGGCCGGAACTACGGTGGTGGTGGTGATGCGGCATCGGCAACAGCAGGATGAGGATTCGTAGCACCACAAGCAGCAGTCGTCCCCGTCCTCCTGATTACACTGAGCAGTGCCCGGAGTTTTCGCAGAAAGCCTACGCAGGCCACTCTTGAATCTTCTTCTTATGCTGACTTTGAACCTGCTATCGACTGCGGATTGGCCACAGGCGTCAGCAGACTCAAATCCCGATGCTTTCAGAGGCCCAGGGCCCAAAGCCTCAGAAGTCCGAGAGCCAGAGCCTGAACCCTAAACCCCTAAATCCCTAAACCAAAAAAAACCCCTAAACCCGAAACCCCCTAAGACCCACCCTATGCCCCACACCCTAACCCTCTAAACCCTAAAGTTTAAAACCCTTAAAACCCCCGTAACCCCCAAAACCCCCAGACCCCTAAACCCTATTGCCCCAAACCCTGAGAGCCCTTAGCCCCCTTAAGGTTCCTTTGTAAGGGTTCCTTTAAGGCCTCCCTTGAGGTTACTTTAAGGGAAAACCCTATACCCCAAACCCTAAACCCCAAAGCCAGGTCTTCAAGGGACAGGCGCTGGCGCTCCCGGCTAAAGGCTCGGACCTCCTGGGCGTTGAGGGCTTTTGGGGGCCAGGTTCCTTCTGCTTTGAGGGTTGCAATCAGGTTTCGGAGGGGTTAGCTTTTCAGGTCAATTGAGCGTGTGTGTGTGTGTGTGTGTGTGTGTGTTTGTTTGTTTTGTTTTTGTGAGGGGCAGTTGGCGATGCCTTTGTTTACTGGAAACGGGATGTTCGCTTGGATTGGGGGTCTGGCATTTGCTTAAACGGTTGTCATTATGTGGGATTAGGGGGTGGGAGTTGACTCGAAAGGGGTATTGCACCAGGTTTAAGGTTCAGGGTTTACTTGAAAGGGTACTGTAAGAGTACTAGAAAGGGCATCTGACCGCGATCAGGTTTCGTTGGGCAGTCTTGCTCTCTCTCTCTCTCTCTTTCGCTCTCCCACCGTGTCCCTCTCTGTCTCTCTGTGCCGTGTCGCAGGGCAGCGAATGCAGGTACGCACACGGCCAAATGCAGCTTGCCATAGAAACAGGTGTAATGGCACGGGAAGCAGCACAGTTCTTGCTTGGCTCACTTCAGCTTGGCTCTCTGTGGTGTCATCTTGTCCAGCATGGCATCTGCTGCACCCAAACCACCAAGCCCTCGGAGATCCGGTTCAGGTGTCAAGCCAGTCATCTTCAAAGCCTCGGCCTTACGGGAACACGCACCCTAGACTTGGGCTTTGGGGTTTGAAGTGCTCCTGTGAAGTCGCATCGTTCTTGCCCTGGCCTGCATTCTCAGCTCCTCAGCCCTTGCAAGTCGTAGTTACGCACGAAAGCCTCATCCTTGGAGTCTTAGAGGCTTTAGTTCCTGTAAGCGAGTCTTGGAGGCTTTAGTTCCTGTAAGCCACAGCTGTGCAATCTGTGTTGTTGAAACATAGCACATCATATCATCATATCGCGCCAGATCAGAAGTACTATGATGCATCATGTGATTCCACATCTCACCGTACCGGCACCACATCAGGCGTATCACAGCGAAGCATACAGCCCGGGCTAAATAAGATGTCATGCCGGGTCGTTCCAAATCACACATTACCGTTTCACTCGTTGATACATGTGAACTTATTCACATCGCGTCTTGACACGTACGAACTTATGACATCAATGCACGCATATCTTGAGCATGAACACGAGCATGTTGCACACACAGTTACTAGGAGTATACCTATCTACTTACCTACTTACGTACCTAGCTGCCTACCTTCCCGCCTGCCTTCCTGTCTGCCTGCGTACCTACATCCATGCATGCATACCTACTTGGAGGTTCACGGGTAGTTATCACTTATAACTACCCGTGAACCTCCAAGTAGAGGCAGAAGCACACGCCTCTGAGGTTGGCCAGTCTTGGGGCGACACGTGGCTTGGTACCATGGCCCTGAGCCCAGCTGCTATTGCAGGAACCTGATTAAGAAACCCTGGGCCTATAACCCCCAAATTAGTAGGCTTCATTTATTCATATAAGGAACCCTAACAAAGACCAAGAGTTTCTTAATCCGGTTCCTACATTACCACGAACAAAAAGCTGCTTTTACGTGTCTGGCTTTAGGCTAATGCGGCTAATGCAACAGTAGAAGCAGCAAGAGCCAGGTTGTGACATTATCGCTAGTTGTACGAGCCTTAGTACCTCTTCCGAACGATACTCTCAGTTTTGACTTTCGGCTGATAGTTTTACCACTTGTTGTAAAGTTTACAGCAGCATTGACCACAACAATACTAACAGCAATAACAGCGGTCATACCACTACTGGTCGCCGAGATCTTCCGTTGTGTAGGATACCACCTACAGTTGCGGAGTTGGACTTCTCGCGGAATTTGATCGGCCACCGTTTGTCATGGTTTCTATGGGAAAGATGCGGCATTATCGCGGGATCTTCAGCAGTCTTAGCCTGGCAGCCCTTCGAATGAAGAGTTTGTGGAACTGCGGCGACGGTGTGAAGAGAGTGAGTGCAACAGCAAGGGCGTTCCAGGATTGGGTTGTTGGGCTACACCTGGAGTGAAAGAGGGGTCTGAATATGTCGAGACATCCTTTCAAAAGTTACAGGAAAACATGCCCCAGAACACCGTTCCAGCCATTGATTCCCTCAGAGTACTTGGATGTGCTTGGATCTTTCAGGCTGCGAACCCCAGTGCCGTGATCTACAGCTTCGAGCCTGTGCAGCACCTGAAGCTGCTACAGGACACCGGGGACCAGCAGTTTGAGTAAGCGTAGGTCTCGGCCACAGGTCCCGTGCCAGGAGCCCTAAACCGTATGGTTCACAGATGCAGCCCGGCCCCACATCCAGTGCTGAAGCTGCGAAACCCTCCGAAGCCTTGTATTGTACGACCATGACTTCTAGAAAGACCTACATGCCAAGAACTCCAGAGCCCTCGCAATCCCGAAAGCAGCCCTCAGCCAATCTCAGTCAGAGTCCTAGAACACAGGAGCATTCGAGCTCCAGGCCACGAGTGAGTCTCAAGTTTGGCCTTGCGGCAGAGCCTCGCAAGGCCCAGTTTCGAGTCCGCCCGGCATGACACTTGGGATTGAAGGTTTAGGGTTCAAAAGCTTAGGGCTTAGGGTTTAAGGTTTGGGGTTTAGGGCTTAGGGTGTAGGGTTTGGGGCTTAGGGCTTATGAAGGGTGTGGGAAGTCTTAGGATCAAAGGGTTTAGGATTTAGGGACACCCCGTTGCGGAGGACTCCATGTAACCAGGGAGCCTTGCGTAAGGGCTTGTTGGAGCTTCTGGGAAGGCTTTGAGATTTCGGAGTTGAGGGTCGAGCCTCCTTCGGTTTTGCGAGAAGTTAAACAATATGAAGGTGAAGCAATCCAATTTTTCGGCTTTCTCCTTCAAGGGTATGAGAACACAGCTTTTGGAAACCTCTGCCAGGTCTGGGGCACCCAGCCCAGTGGACTTGACAACTGGAACGGCACTCTGGAGGCACATCAAACGCCCTTTCTTCGAGAGCCGTTGTTGCAGTTTGATCAAATAGAGGTAAGTTCTTGCTGAGGGTGAGACGGTCTACGAGCCATGGGTCTAAGAAGCTGAGTCACTGCTCGTTAGAATAGAAGTGCTATAGGTAGAACAAAGGCCCCTATGTTAGAAGGACGTGGAGCTGCGCGATGCTGATGGCGTCTTCTCTGAGATCCGGAGGGACCACGTGCGCTGGGAAGTGCTCGCCGGATGGACTGTCGAACTCAAGACTCAGACTTGATGCCAGGGTCGTTCCGCCGATCTTCTGTACCTCAATTGCGGGATCCTTGGCGGCCCTGCACCGTTAACTTAGCAGATGGCATCGGGCTCCAAGGTGAGGGATGTGAGTACGAGGTGCTTCAACGCCTTGCAGACACAGGCCAGCTGCCCAGCAGGATGTTCTCATCATCAGCTGGGGCCTTGAAAGCTGCAGGATGGCTGAAGAAGATCCCACGAATGGTTCGACTCCCATCTGATCGCTTTGAGCGGCTTTTAGCCTGGACTTGCTTGCGGTGTCTGAGGCAATTTTCTGGCATGCCGGCGGAGCTCCATGGCACGCCCGACCTGGAGTTTTCCATATGGGAGTTTCCGAAAATAGGGGACCCAAAGAAGGTAGCCTAAATAGTAGGATCCTTATTATAAGGACCCCAAAATAAGGTACCCCCAATTTTCGGAAACTCCCAACATGATGAAGAGTGCATGTCGTCTACGGCGCATGGCTCGATTCGAAACGGTGGCCTTTGTGGGCCAGGAGCCAGCGTTGTACTTTGGACCACAGGCTTCGGGAATCGCATAGGCCCGGTGATCGGACTGAAGAGTCTTGACATGGGTAGTTGTCCAAATTATGGTCCCCTTTTTGGGTCCTTAGTATAGTACGGCACCTATTACTTAGGGTACCCAAAGAGGGACCTCAACTTCGACAACTACCCACATGGTGATCTGCGCATTGTTGCCCGGTGGTGCAGGCTCGTGCGTGCTGCGCACAGTACCGAGCTGCGGACTCGGCTCGTGTATGTCGTCCATGGTTCACATTTGGGTATTACTACTATAATTAAGTATTGTACTTCTTGTTACATCCAGAGCTTTTACAAACATCATCTCTATTGCTTCGTCGTATTCTGAATTGCTGTTGCAGCAGTTGTTGCATTCCTACTGGCGCGATGGTTGCGATCAGCTGTCTCTTACTATCGCTGTTTCCTACCATGATCGCCATCATGTACATTGGAAGTAGTACGGGACTTACAGGTCAAAAGTTCTGCAAGGGTGTGCGGTTCTGGGTTTGAGGGCTCAGGGCCTGCGGCTTTGGTGCTAGGGTTGAGGGTGCAGACCTGAACAGTGAAGGATATCGGGCTTTCTGGGCATGAGCGACTTTCACATGTTCTGAGTGTCTGTAGCAAGGAGACACCCAAGCTCTTGCACCCGGAGTCCCCAAAGTCCCGAGCCATGAACCCTTACATCCCAGAACTCCATGCTCAAATACCCAAAGCCCTAAGGGCTCCTTGTTTTTAAAAATACGATGCTGGGCCCCAAAACCCTATTCTAATTATTAAGGCCCCTATATTGTAGTACCCTTATAGGTTCCTTATAGTAACCCTATTAGGTCCCTTGTAGTAACCCTTGTAGGACCCCTTTAAAGGAATCCCCTTTTCTAGTTATTAAGGCCCCTACATTAGATCCTCCCTGAAACCCGGAGATTCTGGAGTCTCTTGCGCTTTCAGCGGTCTGCTTTCAGGATCCTGGGATGTAGTAACTAGGGTTTTCATTAGGGTAACTATACTTATAACTACTTATAACCCCAATTAAGATACTGATAACCTTACTTACTAAGTCCCATGATCCTCCAAGTATTCAAGGCTTTGGTCGCTGCGCGGCCTCGGAGAGAGTGATCCGTTCGGTGCCTCTGCTCACTGGTTAGCTGCAGAAGATTGAGGAAATGAGGGTCTGGGGCCTTTGTGTGGGTTCAGGATGTGGAGTTCGGGTAGGGCTTTGGGGTTGAGAGTGTAGCTAATTATAAGCTGAGAGTCCAGTCTTGAGGGTTTGCTAGCCCCTAAACCCTAAACCGCTATAATCTACTGAAGGGCTGAAGTTTACTGCAATCCACTATCTTCTACTATAATAGTGGCGCAGATGTCAGGACAGCTTGGCTAAGCGCTGCTGAGACGACCTCTGCTGGTCATGATCATCTCCTCCTCAAGGCAAGGGTGTATAGTAATGAATAATGAGAGTAGTAATAGCAATACCAATACTAAAAAGAATGCTATAGAATGCTAATCACAATAAAAATGGCAATACTTATATTACTTATATGTGTATCAATAAAACTGTGAGTGAAAACTGCGAGTGGCTTTTGAACTTCCCATTGTCGAGGTTTCTGATGTTCATCTGACGAAGGTGGAGTTTCTGGTCTCGCTGAGCTCCTGGGTGATGCTATACGCCATGGACTTCATCCTCAGCTTCATCCGGCAAGAAGGCCTGGCCGGCGTCGGGATTGAGGCTCATCGGGGGTTTGGGGTTTGGGTTTCGATCTTCTTCTGCACCGATTTCGGCTTTAGGCTTTAAGAGGCAACTTTAAAGCCCGGCATTTCGGGGTTTGAGTTTACGGGAGAATGGCCAGTCGATAAAAAGGGCGGGAAGAGGCATAGTGTAGTGGCGCCTTTAGAGTCCAAGCTCTTTGAAAATGCACTAGACAGATACCACCGTATACCCCGAAACCCTCAACCTCGCAACCCCTGAAGCTGGATCCCTGAGCACCCCAGAGTTTGTCCTGAAGCCCCGAAGCCTACACTCACTGGATGTACGGCAAAAGGTGCTCAAAAGAATTAATTCCTAAACCTCTAAACCTCTGAAGCCTTAACCCCAAGTTAAGCTCTTGTCCGCAGCCGCACACCCGGCAGCTTCTGCCAGGCCGACGGCAAAGCGGTACTCCGTCTACTGAAACCCGGCCACGACGAATTGAAGAACTCGGAGACTCCCAGATCTTAGCTGAGCATCATTGAATATACTACTTTGATGGAAGTAGGTGATGGTTTTTTGGGACCTAATTCCATATTGGTAGTATATATGGACCCTCTGGAATAACGAAAGCTATAACTTTATTGCGTTCTGTTGTGGGGTACGTAGTCGCAGCGTAATCTGTTAGTCGCTTCCCCCTCACATTAATGGGGCCCCCTCCCTAATATGAAAACGCGAAATCCAGGGCCGAGTTTTAATATTAGGGGGGGTCGGGCAGCCGGGTATGGGCCAGTTGGAGAGGTGGGCAATCAAAGGGATAGCCAGATAAAGACATAGATAGATACATAAGTAGGTGGGTAGAGAGATAGTCAGATAGATAGAGAAGAGATGCAACAGCCAGCAATCACGCAGCATAGACAGTCTGACCTCACATGCTGGGCAGTGAGTCGTGCTTTTTCATACCTTTAGATTTTGTGGTCAGGCCATTTTGGCCGAGAGCAGACTTCAGCAAGTACTGCGATGCCATTGGTGTTGATCAAGTGTGGGGTGGTATCATGGAGTTGCGAGCGATGGCGCGGATGCACGATGTCAGGATCATCGTCTTCCCGGCCAGCTTGGACCTCGCACCCTTTGTGATCCACCCGAAGCAAAAACGTAGAATCGTCTGTGTTTGGTTCACTGGATCGCACTACGATCGCATCGTCCCCGATGGCAAGGAGAAAGAGCTCCCCAAGTGCATCAAGGACATCGGTGCTCCTCCTCCCGAGGTACCTGCTCGTGGAGGGTTCGGTGCTCGGCTTCATCGACGGTCGCATCCCCAGCGGGACACCCGGCTCGCGAAGCATCTAGCACGAGAAGCGCGAAGCAAGTCCGACTGTGTGCCCAATTTCAGGGCTACTTGACTGCGGGCATCGCTTCGTGTTACCATCTAGATGATGACTTCAACCAGTACCTTGGCACGAGGGTTGGCAAGGCTTCCATTCCTGGCCTTGGCTCTGCTGCGGCCACTACTAGGAAGCGAAGCGAAAATGAACTGGGAGGCCTCTTCTCAAGCCGATCAGTGAGAAGGTGACAGGTGACCCGGGAGATCATCAATAAGTTGTCCAAGCACGGCGGCTTCGTGCATCTGGCCGAGAAGGAGCTTGCTCAAGCAGCGATTGGCTTGGGGAACTCTTGGGCGGGCAAAGGGGCAAAGGCGCCTGCGCCAAATTCTTCGTATCCCGCCTGCAGCTTGCATTCATCTCACGGATATCCAATGCTGAAGTCCTTCGTGGCGCCCATTATCGTGCACCCACAGATTTGCTCTTGCAACGCCGACTTCTTCTTTTTGGAAGTCCTGCGATGTCCACGCAACCATGTGATGCACCAAACTGCCCTCATCCCTGGAACAATGCAGCTTTCCACCGACAGATTTATCAGAAGAGTGGAGACCGTAGAAATTTTGGATGGTCACCGTGAAGTAGCCAGACTTGTATATGAATCCGTTGTGTGGCGTCGTTCGGTGTGCCGATCCTTGCTTGTCCACGCGCCGCCTGGCGTGTGACCCGACCGACCGAGCAAATATGAAAACACTAAGTCACTAAGCGTCACTAAGCCCTCAACCCCAAACCCTAAACCTCTAAACCCCAATCAAACGCTAAATTTAAGAGCCTCCGGATCAAGCCGCCGGACATTAGGGTCTGGCGCCGCCTTATAGTATGGCTTCAGATGCAGCTTATGAACCGCCGGTGCATCTTGGGCTGCAGCTCGCTGTGCAAGCAGGGTGGGTGGGGAAACCGGGACGGGATTTGGTGTGGAGGAGGGAAAGAGGGAGGTTGGCCCCTCCCAACCCATCCAGCACGCCGCCAGGGTCGGCGGACTCGATAATGACCCGCATCAGTAATGACCCGCACCAGGAACTCGCAAAGCACCTCCCTAATATTGTAATCATCTCGTCGCCTAGCTGCTAATTATAGATACCTATTTACTTGAACCTTAGCGTTCCTAGATATGGCTTTAAACCCTGCCAATTAGTGCACCTTTTGAATGTTAAACCCCAAGGCCCAAGCCGTAAGCCCTAAACCTTAAAACATAAGCTGTTAACTTCGAAAACTAATTTCACGTGCAGTCTTTAGCTTTAAGCCCTACACCCTAAAACCCGAAGCCCTAAACCGTAAGTCCTGAGCCATGACGCCTTCAGCCCTGCTCGCCCTGGTCCTTTTGTTTTAGTACAGCTGTAGTCCTGGCTCGAAAAAATGCAATCCACCCCCCCCGTCTCCCCCTAATATTTTTAATGTACTTTCAATTGCGGGGCCGAAACCGCAACCGCAAAATTCCGGTGTCAAAAATTTCAATGTTTGGGCAGGCTGTAATTTTCGGGGGAAGCGATTACCCTTGGATTGGGGAGTTCTTGCCCAGCCAAAATCTGAGAGCGAGAAGGTATTCGGATCCCGAGCAGAGCAGAAGTGCGAGGGGGAGACGTGCTGACGCATAACATGACAGATCGTCTCACCGTTGAGGGCATGATGCCAGCTGAAGCAGCACCAGAGCATTTTGCGAGCGACCTCAAAAGTTGCAGTCTCGAGGTAGATGTGTTGTTTTTTGAATTCCAATTGCTTCGAGACACGGAACACAAGCAGCCAAGCCGGACTATCTGTGAGGTGAAGTCTTGGGGGCTTCCCTGGAAAGTTTTCCTTCGGAAGAAGAGCCGCCAGGACATGATGTGCTTTCCCAGAGCCTTGTTCCCACAGCTGTATTGTATCTTTATGACCCTTGGAAGGTTCATATCCTACAGACGCCCCTGTTATGTCAGGATCCAGAGTTCACGAAATATGCTGGGAGCCGAGCGGTTTCATGTGACGGTGGTGTGGGGTAAGGGCCTCTTGTTGTCTTGGTGTCAGAGCGAATGCTTCTTGACCAGGTCCTTGTCTGCTATCCTGTTTTGAATGTTCCGACAGATTCTCGCGCAAGTTGATTTCCACTGTAGTTCGTCCACAACAACTGAGACCACACAGATTGCTTCTAATGTGAAGGACGTGAGAATTGCCTTCGAAAGCATGAGGGAGGTCGCATCGTCTGAAACAGCGCAGCTCCTCGCAGCTCTTCGCGAGAGAGCTCCGTGCTTTCCTCCGAATTTGCGCGGTTGGCAATTCCGTGCGAAGGAAGCCCCCGGCTGTGATGTTGTTGAATGCACATGAACGCACCCAGGTGCATGAAGCCAAGAAAGAGGCCTCGGGCGTAGCGATGGCCAAGCAGCATGCGAAGCGACGGGCTTAGCAGGTGCCGTTGCCTCACTCGACGTCCTCTGCCAGTGCTGCCTGCCGAAAACAGACGGGAAGCTTCCCCTGGAACCGATGGCAAGAGCTGTGGAGCTGTCTCTTTCGCGTCCTCTGAGGTTTTCTCCATACTACTTGCCTGCCCAGGCGGCTGCCTGGTTTCAAGGATTAGATTGCGGCTTGCAGCGTCTTGCAGAAAAGCAATCGTGCGTTGAGAAAGCACGGAGTCGAAAAGACCAACCCACCAGCTAATAAGTGAGCGCCGCAGTCTGTCAAACAGTGTGTAAGCAATTTCGCATATCTGGGCCTGCGTCTTGCATCGTTGCTGTTGCTCCATTTGACCCTATTGACAATTGATACTTCTACATGCCCTGGCATCGACGTGTCGAGCCGGGGAGAGTGTCTAGGTCGGTGAGGTGCGGGGTGACGACTGGCGACACCTGATTGTCGCGTGCGTGGAGTGGTCCGTGTGTAGGTTACCCAAGCTTCTCGGTAGTACAGGGACCCACGGATCATGACAAGGAGTGGGGGGCATGCTGTATCTCAGTACGTAATTCGGAACAACATGGACACGTCAAGAAATATTGAGGCTCTAAATTGTCTAGCAGTCCCGTCAGGGTACCTTAGACCTTATCGCAACTTTAACCCATGCCCAGTATTTCGGCTTCACTGCCAGAGGCAAGCCTTTGCCGGTTGATGCATCTAGTATACTGTCAGAGACTACAGCATTTTGTCGTGCGTGTTGCAGCATAGTATGATACACTTTAGGATGATTTGAGATAACTGCATTCTCTGGTAGTGTATTACTGTATGTTACAATATGTGACTTCAGACCATAGTATTTTATAGCATGCTCCAGTATGCTATGGGATAATATGGTCTATAGTTTGGTCTATTAAAGTGTAGTTAGTGTGGTTGTGCGGTTCAGGGTTTCGAGGCGATTGGTTTTCCGCCTTGGGGATCAGGTCTGGGATTCAAGCTCCGCAAAAGGTTTCTATTGAGGGTTCTTGCCAGAAGTGTTTCATAAAAACGAAGGTCTCTGTTGCATTAAGCTTCTCTTAGACTGAGTTCGTGACGATATTCTGAAATTCCGAGCAGTCGCAACCGGAAGCCGCACGGAAGCCAGGGCTACATGCATCCAGCACGGCAAGAGTTCATGGAGGGTTCCGCCACTGCCTCAGTCACGACTGCACCACACCGCTCTTGGTAGGGTCGTTGTGACAAACACGACTACTGGATGGCAGCAAAACCTTCTCCTCCTCCGCCCCCTCCTCCTCCTCCTCCTCCTCCTCCTCCTACCGCTACTACTACTACTCCTCCTCCTGCTGCTGTTGTGCTCCTCCAACTCCAACTTCCCTCCTCCTACTCCCCCGACTAGCACTACTATCACTACTACTTCCACTTCTACTACTGCGACGACGCGACTACGACGATGCGACTACGACGACGACTACTACTACTAGTCCCGCCGCAACTGCTGCTGATGCTTATGGCAGTAGCAGCAGAGCAATAGTTGGACAGCGAGGCGTGTTTCTACATGTTTTAACTGTCATGTCAAGGAGTCGAATGCTTGGTGATAATGGCCGTGCGTTTTAATCGGGAAGCTGATGCCGCAACAGTACTTATTGCCACAATGGATACGATACCAGCACTTATGTTCGTAAAGGTGATCATGCTGAGGCTATGGCCGGACATGACGACAGCAATGACAACAAAACATAGTGCTCCATCGCAGCAGCTCACAAGCAAATGCTCAAGGACATCTGTCAACATATTGATAGCCATGCCATGAAGCAGTTGCAACCAATATCCGAATCAGAGCCACATCGTGGTTGTTGTCGTCGTCACGGCGGCAGTCGTCGCTGGAATCCTCGTCGTAGTAGTAGTAGTAGTAGTAGTACTAGTAGATTAATCGTTGTGGTTATTGCTTGCGAGGACCGAGTATCTCTTTACCGGCTATCACACGTAGCAAGAAGTAGTCATGCTAGCGACGGTTACAGTCTCAGGTCAACAACAGGTGTCCATGTTTTTTGAGTTTTGAAGAAATCGCAGGTTGCATGCAGTTTGGAAGTGGGACCCTGCAGGGGCGAAGTGACACGCACCTGTGTCACACTCGCTCGTCGGTCATCCTTCCATACCTTTGTGTGGAGGTACAGGACCCTGAAGACTATATCTTAGTTCTTAGCATGTGCGCATATGTGTGTCGAGCTACCTAGCTATATGTTTGGTATACGTATATGTCATTGAGCGCATCTTACAATGCATTACATTATCGTAGAATTCTACGTTATGTGCATTACGTTACGCTACATGACATATAAGTATGTGTGTGTTGTACTTATACAGTGTGCATATATATATATATATATGTATGTATGTATGTATGTATGTATATGTATGTATGTATATATGCTAATATTACATGCACGATCATGTCATCTGCTGTGCATCGGCCGGGCCCTCCGGAGGTCCAGCCCGAACTGAACCTCTGGTGGCGCGACAGCCCCGCCTTGAGTGCCGCCTTCCGGCGTCGTCTCGGGGAGGCGGGGGGCTGATGCGCTGGGGTCTAGGGATGAGGGTTAGTAAGGTGGCAGCAACATATATATATATATGTATATATATATATACATATATATATACATATATATATATATACGTGCGACGATAGTGTGGCCAGTTTAACGCAGGAGTGGTTGTATTCATGAAAGCACAAGTAAATGTGGAAGTCAATAAGCCAGCCCCAACAAAAGTAGCGGGAATAGTAGTTTTAGCAGGCGGTTGCACTGCTGGCAACAGTGACCTGGTGGTCAGAGAAGCAGCACCTGGCAATTAAGTAACATTGGAGTGCTCGCGACCATTGCAACAGTGGCAAAGAAGCACAGCACAAGTACAACAACATACTATAGGGGCCAAAAAAATCTGTACTATTTTGGGGGGTTCCTTATTGTAATTATAGCGAATTATTAAGGCCCCGAAGGTCGAACTTCGGAATTTCCGAGCCTCTAAGGTGTGGGCTTCGAGGCCGTTTAGAGTTCGGAATGAATGTAGGAACCTGATTACGAAAGCTTGGCCCCATCACCCCGATATTTTAGGCGTCATATGAAGAACCCACACAAAGACTCTGCTTTTCTTAACATAGGGGCCGTCATAAATAGCATAGAGTGTGCTGGGGTATATTATATTGATACCCTCGATTTATCCAGGGTCCGGAAGGGTGGCCCTGGGTACCCTTGGGAACAGGGTCCGAAAGGGTCGCCCGACCCATTCGGACCCTACCTCAGATATTAGAAAAGCAAGCCAGTTAAAACCAGATTTAACTTGCCTGCGGTAGTCCTGCGGTATCACCGCACCGAAAGAATGCCTTTTGGGGGGTGGCTGACGGGGGGGGGCACTAGGCATTGAAATACCTTGTAGACCCCCGGAGTGCCTTGTATGGGGGTCATAGAATATGAGAGAATAGGTGTGCTGGCGAGTGGTACAAAACATTTACCCTGAAAACCTAAACCCTGAAACCTATACACCAAAATCCAGAGACATCCAAAAACTTCCAAATCCAGAATCCTTGGAAGAGCCCCTGAACCCACAAACCCCTAAACCCAGAAATTCTTAACCCTTATGTCGCTTATGTCCCGCAGTAACCCAAAACCCCAAACGCAGAAACCCTAAACCCAGAAAGCCCTTGAACCCAGATACCCACCAAGCCCCCAAACGCAGAAGCATTGTACCCAAGCGCCTGAACTCAGAAACTGAAAACCCAAAACCACTGAACAGAGGAACCGCTGAACCCAGAAACCCTAAACCCAGAATCCCAGAAACCCTGAGCCCATATCCCAGAAACCTTAAACCCAGATCCCAGAAACCCTGAGCCCATAGCCCAGAAACCCTGGCATGAACAGCCTGGCTTCAAGTGAAATCGGCTTGAAGTTGATCCTGTATGTTCGTCCTTAATCGCTACAGACCTCGCCAGGCTTGCCCGAGTGTGAGTGTCAAAACCCAGAAACCCAAAACCTTGTACTCCAAACCCTTGAACTCAGAAGCTAACAACCCAGAACACCTAAACCCAGAAGTTCTGAACCCCCAAATCTGCGAGTAAGCCCAGAAACCCTGCACGCAGAAACCCTAAACCCAGAAAACTCCTGAAGCCAGAAATGCAGAACCCAGAAACCGCAAACCCCGGAAGCCGCAGACATCATAACCTGAAACCCAAAATCACCGAACCGAGAACCGCTGAACCCAGAAACCGCAAACACCCAAACACAGAAACCCTGTAGAACCCAGAATCCCTAAGCCCTTAAACCAAAACCTTAAACCCCTGGACGCTGCACCGAAGCACAATAGCGGCTTGAAGCAAGTCACATGTCGTGCTCGAATCGAGTGGCCGACATGCCGACGCCACAGGGGCGACGCCGGGCGTCGCAACAGGAATCCACCGAGCGGCGCCCGGCGTCGCCCACACCTGTGGGAGCGGGGTGACGCCGGGCGCCGCTCGGTGGATTCCTGTTGCGACGCCCGGCGTCGCCCCTGTGGCGTCGGCATGTCGGCCACTCGATTCGAGCACGTGCTTCGGTGCAGCGTCCAGGGGTTTAAGGTTTTGGTTTAAGGGCTTAGGGATTCTGGGTTCTACAGGGTTTCTGTGTTTGGGTGTTTGCGGTTTCTGGGTTCAGCGGTTCTCGGTTCGGTGATTTTGGGTTTCAGGTTATGATGTCTGCGGCTTCCGGGGTTTGCGGTTTCTGGGTTCTGCATTTCTGGCTTCAGGAGTTTTCTGGGTTTAGGGTTTCTGCGTGCAGGGTTTCTGGGCTTACTCGCAGATTTGGGGGTTCAGAACTTCTGGGTTTAGGTGTTCTTGGTTGTTAGCTTCTGAGTTCAAGGGTTTGGAGCACAAGGTTTTGGGTTTCTGGGTTTAGGGTTTCTGGGCTATGGGCTCAGGGTTTCTGGGATTCTGGGTTTAGGGTTTCTGGGATATGGGCTCAGGGTTTCTGGGATTCTGGGTGTAGGGTTTCTGCGTTCACCGGTTCCTCTGTTCAGTGGTTTTGGGTTTTCAGTTTCTGAGTTCAGGCGCTTGTGTACAATGCTTCTGCGTTTGGGGGCTTGGTGGGTATCTGGGTTCAAGGGCTTTCTGGGTTTAGGGTTTCTGCGTTTGGGGTTTTGGGTTACTGCGGGACATAAGCGACATAAGGGTTAATAATTTCTGGGTTTCGGGGTTTATGGGTTCAGGGGCTCTTCCAAGGATTCTGGATTTTGAGTTTCTGGATGCTTTTGCGCAGGCCCCGCGAACTTAGGTAGGAACCCGAGCAAACAACCACGGCCTGGGAAGCTTGAGTGTGCGCCTTGTCCCGAGGCCCGCTGCCTGCTACTTCTGTGAACTTCTGCGTGGGTGCTGGAAAAATATATGCGGAAACCATGCTGAATATCATGAAAACTATGTTGAGCCATACCCAAATTCAAGCCGAGCCCGACGCAGACTCAATGACTACCAGCAGGGTCCGAATGGGTGGGTCCGAAAGGGTCCGGCCAGATCTACGGGAGACCCTGGGAACCACCCTTTCGGACCCACCAAACAGGGTCCGAAAGGGTGTCCCCCGGCCGACCCTGCGTATCTCGATCCTATTTATATTGTACTTTTACGAAGGGACCCCCCCCCCAAAAAAATAGTCTTGCTAATTCTTAAGGCCCCTATAGTCATTAATCAGGTTCCTATTCTACCTAAACCCGTATGAGGCTTACCCTAAACCCTAAACCCTGAACCCTAAACCCTATATTATGAGGCCTTCAGGGCAGCGGGCAAAGCTTCAGACCTTGAGCTTCCACGGCCTCCGTAAGGGTTGACGATGTCTCCCGAATTTCTCCCGACACCCCCAAACATAGTATACATATACATATATATATATATGCATATAAACAATAATATCTGTATATGTGTATATATATATACCTATACACATACGTGGATATATATATATATATATATATATACCTAGACAAAATCTAACGTTCTGTCTTCTGAAAGCTGTCAGGCAAAGTCGTTTGAGGAGGCCCATGCAGACCACCGCGAGCCGAACAGTGCCTGGGCTATGCCTTCAGGGCTTATGTTCTATTTGTATGACGTAAGGTTTGGTCGTTAGTCGGTTAGAGTTGCATACCAAGAATTATGCTCAGGGTCTGTTTAGGGGTTCCAACGAATCACGGGCGAGGATTCTGTAGCAGGGTTCGCTCGTGCGCATGCTACCCAGAATTCTGTCCGATGGATCTCTTACTGCAACTGTCTCGCAGCAAACTCTTTGCTTGTGGCCTGCAAACGTTCAGGTGGAGTGTGGTGATGGAGGGATGTCCCCAAATTGTCGCAGTTTCTTGTTGCAAAGCATTCGCGTTTGAGCTTTCCAGGGCTTGCCCGAATGTTCGAAAGTTATTGCTCTCTTTCTTGTCAGGGGAGGGACGGAGTCGCAATGGGCAATCTCGATGTTTGGATGCTTTTGTCGTTGTTGTTGGTGGAACATTCGTAGTATAGTGGCCTGAATACCGACGAACGCTATCCCCTCATAGTCCCTCCTATGACTATACGACTTTGTACCACCAACCCTTATTCTAAGCCCTAAGCCGTTAAACCCCAAGCCCTAATTCATGTTCCTGCCGGATTCCCACTCACCTTGTCGTAAACTTCTCTTCGGCTACTCGCGGCGGCCTTTGGAAGAACTCCGGTTTGGAGCAGCCCCCCATTAGGGCTTGGGGTTTAGGGTTAAGGGTTGTTGGGTTTAGGGTTTGGGGTTTGGAGTTTAGGGCCACGCCCGAGCTGTTTTGTTTCTCCAGGTCTGGCCGAGTCCAGCCCAAAAGTTTTGTAAAGTCGTAATTACATCCTTGTAGCAGAAATTCTACAAATTCTCCTAAGACCACCCCAAGAAGCACACGACGACGAAATGCAAAGCAGGTTTGGAAAGCTCAGAGGTCTGAATGCAAGGGTTCACCGTAACCTCGTAAACCTGAACCCCTACACCCTAAACCCTAAACTGCCAGACCTCAATGGTGGGTTTAGGGCTTTGGGGGCCAGGTTGAGCCCCACAGTACCCCACGGAAAGGCATAATTCTCCGAGCCTCGAGCTGTGAATCAAAACGGAATTCCAAGCCAACCCTGAACCCCAAAGCCAACAAGCATGACAGATCTGAAGGCTTTCGCTACGGTCAAACCTTCGGCGGAGGTGGGAAGAACAACGTGAGCGTGCCTTGGCTAGTCTGTTTTTCTGAAGACTTCAGGGATGCACGGGTTACGGATTCAGTGTTTGAGGTTTTGGTTGTCGAAGGATCTGGGGTTTCAAGGCGATCTTGGGATATCCCAGTATCTATGAAATAGGTTCCGACATGTAAATACAGCAGAATTCACCCCAAACCACTGTGTAAGTTGTGAGATCCATGCCATTGCATGCCCTGACGCCCTGCGCAGCCTCGGAAGCGCGGCAAGACTCACCGATACCGGTTCCTGCGGCCCTACTGAGTGGCGGAAAGAGGGTTTAGGGATTCAGGGTTTAGGCTTTAGGTTTTGGGGTCTATGGTTAAGTGGCTTAGGGATGAATGATGTAGGGTTTGGGGTAAGCAGCGGAAAGGGAACTCAGAAAGATGAGAGCCTGGCTCTGCCGTGATAGCTGTACCTGGAACTGGAAGCTGCAGCTTTTTCAACCTTTCGAAAGAGTAGATGATTGATTTTGGGTGCGTTCAGTTAGGGTGAGACAAGCCGAGTGTGCGCAATGCAAAAAAACTGACCTGCTCATGCTTTGGGACGTCCTTTCGGTGCGAAATCTTTCTCTGAGCTGTGATTTCTGGCTGAGCCGTAGGTTTCAGAAGGTTCCAAGGGCAATGCCGATCATCCACAAACTGCTGCAGAATAGTTCGGATGTGGAGCTCGAGAAGGTCAGGGAGTCCACCGTCACGAGCTTTACCACCATCGGTGTGGTGGCGGCACTTCTGCTGACCATGGAGAAAACGGGAGAGTCGGTTGGGCAGGATGCATCCAAGTGGATAGACTGTAGCCGGGTGCCCTGCAACGAGATCCACGTGGCGCTTAGCTGGCTCTCGCTTATTGGCTGCGCACATGCCGTGCTGTTCACGACGTGCGTTCTGGTGTGGATGGCTGTGCTGCCAGAAGCAGCCACCCGAGATTTCTTCTACTCGTTTCCCTCGGTCATGGTGCGTGCTACTCAGTCGATGATGATGGTCTCGACATGCTGGGCCCTTGATGCCCTGTGGCTTGCCATCATCAAGCATGGCCCAAAGCTCATGCAACTTGGCTCCTCAGCAGTAAGTTCTATAGCATATAATATGCACATGTATGCACAGAATGTTGGTATACCGAAGGCCCCACAGGAGCATATCCCATCGTTACTTGCCCCAAATATCGAAGGGGTGAGAGCCGCAAGCTGTTCCTCGCTGTCCCTGGCTTTGGCCTCTTCTTCCACTTGATCTGGTCCTTTTATTGGATGAGAGACTTTGCCTGGCACTGGCCCAAAGAAGGCTATCGCTATCGCCTGCTCGAGACGGAAGCCTCGGCAGATCCTGATTGATCCACCTGCCTAGCTTGGAGAGGCAAAGGACCTCCTTTGCTCTGGTGACTGCGGGACTGGAGCAGCCGATCTGGGACGAGCAGCATGAAAAAAAGCATCGAGGGCCCGGAATTCAGCTACTACAGGGGCCTTAATAGTTACCAATACTACTGTGGGGGGTTCCTTACTGTAAGTATAGTATATCTGGTCCCAAAACCCCATTCTAATTAGTAAGGCCCCTACATTAAGAAGGCCGGGGAGTTGAGGGTGCCCTGTCGATTGTCTCGAAGTTCCAAGATCCCGTCCTAGCGGACCTGGTCAGTTTTTGTGAGTACATGTGGCTAGTTGTCAATCAAGATAATTGGTCCCTTATTGGGTACCCCAAATATTTAGGTGCCGTATTCTATTAAAGACCCCAAAAATGAGGGACCCTATTTTTGACAACCACCCGTGGTGCAGTGGCATGTTGCACCATGCCAGTGGAGCTTGGTGGGAACAACCCTAAACCCTAAGCCCTAAAACCCTAAACCTCTTTTCCTTTTCCGCAATCATGGCTCGGAGGCTTAGGGTTCAAAGATCTGATAGCGAGGGGTTCCTCTGAATTCTCTGAGAATCATGGCTGCACCTGCCATGCCGACCATCACTCCGGAGCTTGCCGGACAGATGGTGGACAAGGCACCTACGAGCTCTAACATAGGGGCCTAAATAAGTACCGATACCATTTTGGGGGGTTCCTTATTATCATTATAGCATAATATACCCCCCAAAACCCTATTCTAATTATTAAGGCCCCAAGAGAAGCGCTTCAAAACCTCGCAAGAGATCTTGAGGTCCGTTCTCAAGCATCCCACAGCCGCAACTAGGGAGCTCAAATTACAGAAGCTGCAGATGTGCTGGGGCTTCCTACAGAAGCTCTGTGGAAGAAGTCTCGACAGGCCATCGTCGCGCTCGAGGATGAAGCGACCAAGAAGAAGGCGGGATGACACGCGTGTGTTGATTCGCCAACACTTGCATTGCCATAGCAATACACGCACGGACACACAGATCACTGTGCTACTGTCGTTCGTTCGTGTTTCCGTGTGTGTGATCTTAGTCTGCGGTAAGATGGAATCCCTGTCAGCGATGCTTGAGAGGAATCCAAGCGCAGGAATGCTTGAGCAAACTGTAAATGTACTCGAACATACTATGTTATGTTAAGACCCATCATGTTGTACTCCACTATGTGGCTGTGCAATATGTTATGCTTTGTTGTACTCGTATTTGTTACATTGCATCGGGTTACGTTCTGTTACGCTGTTTATATATATATATATATATATGTATATGTATATTTTGTTTGTCTCATTGTATCAGGTTTCCTTGTACGATATTACGTTGTGCTGCATTATGCTCCGCCCGGCAATCTGAACCCGCAGCCTGCAAATACCAAGGCCCTGAAATGCCGCCAGATGTTTTCCTCAAAGGTTCGAAGAGAAAAGCAGAAGCCGCAAGGCCCCAAACCCAGAGAGCTAAAGGTTGATGCCTGGGCCCGGAACCGTAGTGAGGAAAAATTAGAGTGGAGGACCGCGTAAGTGGGCTACCATGAAGGCACCTTCGTCAAAGGGAGCGCCTAGCACCCTGATGGCTGCATCTCCCCTGTGCGGCAAGTCGGAGTTCATAGCCGAAAACCCTGAAACCCACAACCTTTAACCCCGCGTTCCATACCGTGAGAAGCCCGAGCCCGAATACCTAAACGTCTGGAGCAAAGCTGAACTTCTGCTTGTCCCCTAAACCCTAAACCCTAAACCCTAAACCCTAAACCCTAAACCCCAAGCCCTAATCCCTAAGTTAGGATAATTACTCAGCACCAGTAGAAAGCATTCGGGAGGTCGAAGAAATTATCACAAAGGCCAAAGAGGTGGGGGCTTGACGTTCAGAATGCCAGGCTTGAGAGTTTAAGCTTTGTTTGGTCCAGGGTCGAGGGGTTTGGGGTCTACATAGGGCATGGAGCTCTCTTGGTATAGTAATGGTTATTTTTTGGGTTTTTTGGGCTTAGAGGTCGTTGTTGCAGTTTTGATGGGGCACGTCGTCGGGCCTTGAGACCCTATACCTTAAAGCAAGATCCTTGGCTTCCACAGCGCAAGCTTAGTGTGCTGCTCCAGCATTTGCTTCCGCTGTGTTCCACTCCAGATGGTGATAGAAATAGTAATACTAATTGTTATAGAAGGAGTGATAGAAATAGCATAGGAAAGGACATAGTCATAGTAACACTGATTTCACTGCGCCTCATCGTGCTAGGCAGAGCCAGAGGATCAAGTGAAGCGACAGATGCTGATGATGCAGGCCTCTCTGAAGTGTCACTGCAAGGCAGTTGGAGGTGTGGTCTCATCGTACGGCCATCCTGAGTCCTCGCTGCGAGGAGATTTTGCCTTTGGCCAAGAGCGTTGTCGGTGACAGCTGGAAGGAGCGGATGTGCGCATTTCGGACGATAGGGACCCTAGCCGGACCCGCAACTAAACCCTGCGTGCAATACTGTCAAGGGAGGTTCTGTGAGGTATGAGGAATTCTTTAGGTTTCATCCTGACGTCTTATGAGCTCGAGGTTTGCAGCTCTTGACTTTAGGACTTGGGTTTGAGTTACAGTTCAGCATCAGATCAGCTTGATCCGTTTGGGAACTGGCATCTCTCAATCACAGTCTTGTTCGAGTCGAGTTGCCTGCAAGTGCCTCAGCAGGAGTGGGGAGTGACAGAGGAGAACGCCATGATGGTTATGATGCAGGCACTGGCGTGTCGCGAGGTGCGAGCGCAGTTCTCGGTGCCTGGAGTCTCGTTGTGCTGCAGGTTCAGATGATGGCCATGATGGATCCAGTTTTGCAGCCGAAAGCTGCCAAGGCATGCTGTCACAGTTCTGCAGCATCCCAAACCCTAAACCCCTAAACCCCAAACCCCCCAAAACCCTAAACCTTTATCTCTAAACTAGGCCCTAAACCCTGAACCTCTACACCCTCTGTGCCCCTTCTCCTAACTCCGGGCCCAAGCCGCCTTGAGGTCATGAGCTTCGTGCAGGGTCAGGTAGGCGCCTGAGTGCTCTTTTGTCTGGCTCTTAGTAGGGGTTTAAGGTTTAAGGGGGTTAGGGGTTTAGGGTTTAGGGCGTGGGGGAATGGATTATCGAGACTATTATTGGGGATTCCCATTCCCTACGAAGCGCCAGACAGTCTTGTAGGATCCCTCGCGGAATTCGCAGTTTCACCGACGGAGAGAGAACGCCTCCGCCTTATAGACCGAAACCTATCTCAGGAGCAGCCAAAAAAAGGAAAGTGCTAGAGGCTAGAGTGGAACTGCAGCGTTGTCGCAGGAAGCCGCATCTCTGTAATTTCGGGCTCAAGAGCAGTGCTGCTGAAACAGGACATTCATCTCGGCTACAGGGGCTGCGGCTGTTGCTAAGCACCAGATCTCAAGATGGCCTTCACTCCCGTCGAGTCTGGTGTGGGCGGCCTGCTGATCGGGCTGTCGGCCGCACTTGCATACCTGGGGGACGGCAAGATCACGGGAATCAGCGGCATCGCGGGGCCCTTCTTGCGGGGGGTCGGAAAGTGCCAGCCAATGAAGGATGGTCAACTCTGGAAGGCTCTTTTCCTGGTCGGGCTGGTCAGCGGCGGTCTTCTGAACTTGGCCTTCAACCGAGACTTCGCTTATCCTCAGGCCTTGAACATCCCGGTGGCGAGGTACTGCTTGGGCGGCGTCTTCGTTGGCATCGGCACCAGAGCAGGCCGCGGTTGTACCAGTGGCCACGGCATCTGCGGACTTCCGCGCCTTGCGCCTCGAAGCTGGATTGCGGTGCCGACGTTCATGGGCGTAGCTGCTGTAACCGTGGCAGTGACCAGGCATGCAGCCCAGCTTGATGCCAGCGGTCCATGGGGAGTTGCGGAGCTCCAGTGGCCACCCAAGTGGGAGTTCCCTCTTGCGGCAGCTTTGTCCAGCTTGGCACTAGCTGCTCTGGCTTTGTTCTTGCCGTCCAAGCCTCGCAGCTTCGTGTCGCCGCTGGCGTGTGGGATGATCTTCGGCTTGGGCCTGGGCGTCTCAGGCATGACCAGTCAAGCGAAGGTCTTGGACTTCCTGGACTTTGGCGGTACCTGGGATCCGAGCCTGGCCTTCGTGATGGGCTTGGGGCTTTGCGTCTCCTTCCCGGCATTTCTGGTTGCAGAAAACGAGGACAGGAAGCCTCTCTGCGGAGAAGAATGCAAGTTCGAGCGCCCGTCCAAAACCGGAGACTACGGATCGCTGGTGCTAGGTGCCACGTTCTTCGGGCTCGGATGGGGCATGGTCGGCATCTGCCCCGGACCTGTGCTGGCAGGCATGATCCCTTACCTCGTCGGAGGTTGGGGCCCTGGCCTTTCCTTCGGCCTTTGTGTAGTGCTGATCCTGGCTTCGTGGTTGGTGACGGACCGTGTCATCAGCTATGTGAACTCACAGCAGGCTACAGAGGTCAACGTAGTGAAAGTAGTCCCGGCTGTGGCGGACGAGCAGGCCTGAAGAATCGCAGAGATAAGGTAGGCCAAACCAGTAGCAGTTTTGGATCCTGTGCGGTGTCTAATTATGCACCAGCTTTGATGTAATGGCCTGGCTTTCAAACCCGTTTTGAAAAGACTGGCCTTTCCCCTTGCGTCTTGAAGATCAAGACTTTCCGTTGTTTGAGCGGCTCGGTTTCTCTCCTGCAGAGCAGGGCAAAGAGAACCATACGATTATGCAGCTCAGCTCGTGACGTGCTCCTGCCATGCGCAGGCAGTGCCAAGCCAAGAACTCAGAAGAAGAGCTGCAGACTGTGCCGCTGTTCTTCGTGTTTTTCCTGTGTTGTAGCACTTGTAAGTGAGCCGGCGAGCGACCGAGCAAGCAACCAAGCAAGCAAGCGAGCCAGCTGACGACAACCACAACAACGACGACAACAACATCAACGACAGCAACAGCAGCAGCAACAACAACAACTACTACAGCAAGTACTACAACTACGAAGACTCCCACTACTACTCTTACTCCTACTCCTACTCCTGCTCCGCCTGCGCCTGCGCCTGCTCCTTTTGCCTTCTGCTGCAAAGCTGCTGCTTACTGCTGCTGCTGCTGCTGCTGCTGCTGCTACTACCACTGCTACTACGAAGCCGACTACTGGACAAACGACCACCACCACGACCACCACCAGCACCATCGCCTCCGCCAACTTAAACTACCGCTACTGGCAGTTCATCAACCGCCATCGCCCAATGAGGGTGTGGATTTATGAAGCTGATCAAACGCCAACGTCGAAAGAGGGGGCGGCTTGACTGACTGCAATGAAGCGCCATCGCTCAATGACAGGGCAGATGCAAGAAATGCAATACCTAGCACGGCGGCGGGTTTAAGAGTTGTGATCTTCCGCCATCTGTTAAGGAGGGGGCGGGGGGCGGGGTTTGCAGAAGGCTTCACCCACCGCCAGTGCACAGTGAGGTGGCGGCGTTAAGATTTAAGAAATGTGGCCACTCGCCATTGCCGAGGAACAGACGATTCCGAGAAATTGCTCAATGAGGGTGCGGATTGACGAAATGCGAGCAACCGCCATCCCCTAGTAAGGTGGCAGGTCTAAAAGGTCCGATCAACCGCCATCTCCCAATGAGGGCGCGGGCTTCTGAAATTGATCAAAGGCCATCGTCCAGCGAGAGGCGGGCTTCCTGAATGTGATCAAGCCCTTAATGAGGAGGCGGGTTGAAGAAGCTATCATCAACCTCCATATTAAGATCATGAAGGTTTCACAAAATTTTGCTTTCGGAGGAGACGTTCTTTGTTGGCTGACAGTTTCCGGAAGGGGTCTGGGTTCTGGATTATTGCAAAGTCGGGATGGGAAACATTCTGGGGAGAAGATGTTAACGCATCAGGTGCAAACAACAAATCCGGACTAGCCGGCGGGAGCCCCCAAAATCAGGATTCTTGAAAGCTCGAGGTGTTCCCAAATCCCGTTCCAAAAAGTTTCCGCATTTTCGCATGCAATAATCGACCTCCCGAACTTCCGGTTACGACATGAAGAGTTCAATGAGCTTCATAGGGTGTTGTTTGTTTGTCTTTCGATTTCTTGAGACAAAATCTTCATTCCCGCTAGTGTCCCCATGTTGCCCGTGAAAGTGCGACAAACGGTTTGAGCACTGTGAACTGCCGTCGCTGATTGAGAGGGAAAGAAATGCGATCAAGCGCCAGTACTTAAGGAAGGGGCGGGTTCTGAGCCGCAGTTCAACCGCCATTCATGGAGCGGCGAGTTCAAAGAAGTGTGCGAAGGACGGGGTGGGTTGGACACACGTGATCAACCGAAACCGGCATCGCTTAATGATAAGGCGGGTCTAAGGGTGATCAAACGCCATCGCCTAATGAGGGAGCGGCTTTACGGAATGTCATCAACCGCCATCGTTCATGAGGGCGGGGATAACAAGTGTGATCAACCACCATCGCCTGATGACGGGGCTGCACTCGGGAAAATTAGGCGCTCTGCTAAGATGCTTCTCCCTGTGTTGAGGCTCCCCCGCCCCCGGTATACGGTCGGGATTTGGAGACATCGCCAAAATGTTTTCCTCCAAGCACTCGTCGGAGTTTCCAGGGCAACATAAGGCCGAATTACGCGAATTTACGGCATTCAACAGGACATGCGCACAGAGAATGGAAACAAGTTCAGCCAAATAGCTGAACAAAAACAAGCAGAACAAATTTGACAGCGTGTAGACTGTACATCAGCCAATCTTCGGTGCCGGGTGCTGCGCGTCAGATTGCTCTGAGTCTTAAGCATGGCTGGCGTCACTAACATAGACGTGGCTCGAAATCATCCAGTAGCGACCGTTGCTGGCTGGTCAGGTTGGCAAATTGAGCCCATGGCCTTCACTCCTGTTGAGTCCGGCGTGGGCGGCATGCTGATCGGCATGTCAGCCGCCCTCGCATACCTGGGCGACGGGAAGATCACGGGAATCAGTGGCATCGCGGGGCCCTTCTTGCGCGGCATGGGGCAGTGCGAGCCGATGAGAGATGGGCAGTTGTGGAAGGCTCTCTTTCTCTTTGGCCTTCTCTTGGGCGGCCTTGTGAATTTCCAATTCAATGAAGGCTTCGCATTCCCGGGTGCCTTGGACTTCCCAGTGGGAAGGTACTGCTGGGGCGGTGTCTTCGTTGGCATCGGCACCAGAGCAGGCCGCGGCTGTACCAGTGGACACGGCATCTGCGGACTTCCGCGCCTTGCGCCTCGAAGCTGGATTGCAGTGCCGACGTTCATGGGTGTAGCTGCTGCAACCGTGGCAGTGACCAGGCATGCAGCCAAGCTTGATGCCAGCGGTCCATGGGGAGTTGCGGAGCTCCAGTGGCCACCCAAGTGGGAGTTCCCTCTTGCGGCAGCTTTGTCCAGCTTGGCACTAGCTGCTCTGGCTTTGTTCTTGCCGTCCAAGCCTCGCAGCTTCGTGTCGCCGCTGGCGTGTGGGATGATCTTCGGCTTGGGCCTGGGCGTCTCAGGCATGACCAGTCAAGCGAAGGTCTTGGACTTCCTGGACTTTGGCGGTACCTGGGATCCGAGCCTGGCCTTCGTGATGGGCTTGGGGCTTTGCGTCTCCTTCCCGGCATTTCTGGTTGCAGAAAACGAGGACAGGAAGCCTCTCTGCGGAGAAGAATGCAAGTTCGAGCGCCCGTCCAAAACCGGAGACTACGGATCGCTGGTGCTAGGTGCCACGTTCTTCGGGCTCGGATGGGGCTTGGTCGGCATCTGCCCAGGACCTGCGATTGCCGCCGCAATTCCAAACGCGGTCGCCGATGGCTCTCCGGGCCTCTACTTCGGCCTGTGTGTGCTGCTGATTCTGGTTTCCTGGCTCGTGACGGACCAAGTCATCACCCAACTGAACTCGCAGCAGCCAACACAATCGGCAGAAGCAAGAAAGCTCTTGTCGGATGAGAAGGCCTGAAAGGCAGAGTGCGTAAGATTTGCAGGGCATCTCATCCTGTGTCACCACATTAACAGTTTCCGAGAAGAAGGGGGCCTCTAATTGTCGACCCTCAGTGATTTGATCCTTCTTCAAAGGGACCGCTGGCTTTTCGGAAACGCTCACATCCCGTAATGGCGCCAGGTACCGAACATTGGGATACTGGGTAACAGAACATGTGATAGGCAACCTAATGGCCTATATGGGTACATACTATTCCGGCAAACCCCGAACCCCGGAAGCCGGAACTCTTTATATATGTGTATAAATATATATACACATATGAGTATATAGTTATCTATATTGTGCATAGTCTATATAGATGTATCGGTATATAGATATAAAGTTATATAGGTATATAGCTATATAGATATGTAGATATATAGGTAAAAAGATATGTAGATATACAGATATATAGATATGTAGAAATATAGACATGTAGATATGTAGATATGTAGATATACAGATATATAGATAGACAGAGCCTACTAGTGAGGTAGCTGGAGCCATAGGGATCGAGAGGGGCTTTCAGCCTTCGAGTTGATAATCCCCGCCGGCCGACCTTGCTCGTGGCCTGGCTACTGAAGCAGCGGATGTCGGGTTTCGGGTTTAGGAGTTCAGGGTTTAGGGGCTAAGGGTTTTGGGGTTTAGGGGTTTAGGGTGTGGAGGTTTAGGCTTAAGGGGTTTAGGATTTCAGGTTTGGGGTTTTGGCTGGTTTAGGGTTTAGGGTTTGTATGTGGGAGCAGATAGTTAAAACGCATGTACAGCTACACATAAATACAAACATTGGGTACGACTACAGAGCATATTCTAGAAGCAAGTGTGCAAACAACCGCATGCATAAACAAACAAGCAAGCACAATGAACAGTTTGTATGCGTATGACCCCCCTAATATGCGGCACACGTAGATATTCGTTTGTATAAGCATATAAAGTCTTGTGCTACATGTTACGTACATCTATACAGTCATACACCTAGAGTAGTTCTTGGTCTCTTTCTTCTTCGCTGATTCAAAGCCTTTTTTCCCGCTTCCTCGGTGTGTAGGAGGCTGAAGTCTTGGTGTGTTCGGCTGCCCGAGCTGCTCGCCTAGCGAAAATGCGAACTCGCCGCCGGCCCGCAGAGGAAAGGTCTTGAACAATTGGAAAATATCGCGTTTGAGCTCACCTTTGCAGTCAGGAGCAGCTGTATGCTTTTATGGTGCAAGGGGGTCGCAAGTGCCCTTCCTATCACTTGCAAGTCTCAAGCCTTTAAACCGTAATCTTTGGGCTCGAGTCAGACGACGCCAGGATCCTAGCAGGTGCACCGGGGCAGCCCTTTTCGGAGGTACTCTGCGGCACCCCTACTTGGGAGTTTCCGAAAATGAGGGGTCGTTGTAATAAGGATCCTACAATTTAGGGTACTATACTGGGCTCTCCTGTTTTCGGAAACTCCCACATTCCGCAGCAAAAATCCGAAACTCCCAGACCCGTCTTTGACTTCGGAGGTACCATGAGGCGATCACTGCTCAGCCAGCTTATTGTCATTGCGGCCCTGGCCGTGTGCCCCGGCCATGGCATGGACTTCTGGGATGCAGTGTCGGATAGCTTTCAGCTGAGTTGCTTGTGGTACTGCATCACCTCATTCATTCAGCTATATATATATATATATATATATTCCAGCTTGTGATGCTAAAGCTTGGTGTAGTTGTTTTGGTACAGTCTCGCAGAGCATTAGTTCAGTCCTCAGCCCGCAGCTTGAAGGGGAAGGGGGGGTAACGCCTGCAGTGCATTGCATGTCGAAGTGTCTCCGTTCATGCAGCTCCTCAACCCCTAAACCAAGCTTTACAACCCTAGTATAGGGGCCTTAATCATTAGAATACGGTTTTGGGGCCCATTATACTATAATTGTAATCAGGAACCCCCAAAATAGTGTTGGTAGTTGTCTAGGCCCCTATATTGCACTGCAACACGCTAGCTTCTGTGTCCCAAGTTCAGTGCCCCGAGTCCTCGGACCCTAAGCCCTTGAACTCTAAACCCCAAGCAACGCTAAAGCTCTCCTTGAACCCTTACGAGACCCTTTTTGAACACTGAAACCAGCTTTATCCAGCTAGCTATCGGACACATACAAAGACCTTAAACCCTATAGCGCTCTAGTTGCTATAGTACATTTTAGTATATTACAGATTATAATATAGCATTTTACACGTTATAATATAGTATTTTACACTTCCGGCCCAGGTGGTGCAGCCTTAGCTTCGTCGGGCCAAGTGCAGGGAGCGCCGCGCCTCGGCGGTCTGCAACGGCAATGGCTGCGGAGGCCGGGGTGTTTTGGGTTTAGGGCTTCAGGGATTGAGGGATCAGGGCTAGGGGTTTAGGGTTTTGTGGTTTAGGGTCAGGGGCCTGTGGTTTAGGGGTTCAGAGTTAAGGCGTTTAGGGTCTAGGGATTAGGGCTTAAGGTTTAGGGTTTAGGGGGATGGCGTTCAGGTGCCACGTGCTAGGCATACATCTGTAACTTGTCCCATTACTTTTCGATCTCAGCACACCTAGCTTTAAGAGCATGACATGGATCTACATGTATGCACTCGCGAGTAGACCAGTAGCAGGCAAGAGTACCGCGACGTGCAATACAATCAGAGCAGGATGGGCCCTTTTTGCCAACTGCGTCATGCCATGTTAAGTGGAGCAATACAGGAACAGAGAAGCAGTAGCCAGTTTCGGCTCCCATCCTTTTTCAGGGTGGCTGGTGAGCAGTGTTACCGACTTGCAAGCACGCCTGAGGCTTTAGTGCTTTCATCGACCCAGCAGACAGAGGGTATCGGTTACAGATGGTACATTGCCAAGGTTTTTCAGCGAGATCTTAATAAGGAGAATCGGGTTCTGGGGTATATTATACTACACTTATAGCAAGGAACCCTCAAAATAGTATAGGTAATTATTAAGGCCCCTATTGTAACCAGGTTCCTATATTATAAAACTCCAAACCCTAAGGCCCGTTTTTAAACCTTGCTTTCGCGCTTAAGATCTGACTTGGCGAGGCAAAGAAAGCACCAAAGAAGAAGGCCCGGGGGGGTCGTAGATTTTGTTTTACTATCGTCTGTGATAGACATTATATGGTGTTTTATAGTCTATTATAGCATATTATCGTATATTGTAGTTTGTTGTATCGTGTATTATAGTCTATTATCGTATATTATAGTCTGTCCTAGTAAATTACAGTATATAATATATCTGGAATTTGAA